TTCGCAAATATTAACATGGCTCAGCAAAGATTGTGAAGGCCGAACAAGTCTCAGCAAGGCTTAGCAAGGCTTGACCAGTTTTCGCATGCGGAACTTGTATTAGCAAGGCCTAGCAGGGATTAACAGAGCTTGCCGGGCCCCAGCTGGGCTTACCAAGAGCCTAGTAGGACAGAGCGGAGCTTGCATGGGCTGAGGAGGGAGCACCAGGAGTTAGCAGTGGCTCGCAGAGCCTGCCAGGGCTTGGCAGCGGCTAGCAGCGCTCAGCAGGGCGCGCGAGGATTAAGCAAGGCTTTGCAGAGCTTGCCAGGGCTCAGCGATGCCTACCAGGCTCAGTAGGGCTTAGCACTGCTTACCAAGGCCTGAGCAGGGCTTACAAAGGCTTAGCAAGGCTTACTAGGCGCTTACAGGGCCTGGCAGGGCTTGAGGCCTCGCAAGGAACAGCAGGGCTCAGCAAAGCTTGCCAAGGCTGCGCAACGCTCAGCAAGGCTGAGCACGGCGTAGCATACATTAGCTAGGCTTGCCAAACTTAGCTTGCATAGCAGAGCTTACCGGGGCTCAGGAGGGCGTGCCAGCACTTGGCACTGCTTTACAGAGCTTGCCAGGGCTTAGCAGTAGCTAGCAGCTGGCTTATCAAGGCGTGGCAAGGCCTCGCAGAGCAAAGCTTGTCAAGAACGAGCAGGGTCCAGCAAGGCTTCGCAGGGCTTAGCTAAGATTGCCCAGGCTGACCAAGATTGAGCAAGGGTGAGCACGGCTTAGCGGTGCTGACCAGGCCTTAGCAGGGCTTACCAAGGCTTATCATGACTTAGCAGAGCTCACCAGCGTGGAGCAGAGCGTGGCAAGGTTTATCCAGAATCCGGGGCTTACTCGGCACTACCGCGGCTTAGCAAGGATTCGCGGAGCCTAGCAGGGCCAAGCAAAGCTTGCCAGGGCTCAGAAGGGCAAACAAGAACTTAACAGGGCCTTGCAGTGCTTGCCAGGTCTTAGCAGTGCCTAGCAGTGTTCAGCAGGGCGTACCAGGACTTAGCAGGGCTTTGCAGACCTTGCCAGGGCTTGGCAGTAGCTAGCAGCTGGCTTATCAAGGCGAAGCAAGGCTTCGCAGAGCAAAGCTTGTCAAGAATGAGCAGGGTCCAGCAAGGATTCGCAGGGCTTAGCTAAGATTGCCCAGGCTGACCAAGACTGGGCAAGGGTGAGCACGGCTTAGCGGTGCTGACCAGTCCTTAGCAGGGCTTACCAAGGCTTATCATGACTTAGCAGAGCTCACCAGCGTGGAGCAGAGCGTGGCAAGGTTTATCCAGAATTCGGGGCTTACTCGGCACTACCGCGGCTTAGCAAGGACTCGCGGAGCCTAGCAGGGCCAAGCAAAGCTTGCCAGGGCTCAGAAGGGCAAACAAGAACTTAGCAGGGCCTTGCAGTGCTTGCCAGGTCTTAGCAGTGCCTAGCAGTGTTCAGCAGGGCGTACCAGGACTTAGCAGGGCTTTGCAGAACTTGCCAGGGCTTGGCAGTGCTCAGCAAGCTCAGCAGGGCTTAGCAAGGCTCCTCGTTCTCCTCCTCCTCTTCCTCCTTCTTCGCCTCCTCCTCCTCCTCCTCCGCCTCCCCAGTAGTGCAACAGAATCCAATAGAGTCGATTTGGGGTCTGATGGGGAGTCCAATGGAGTGGTATGTTGCCCGATGGTGTCCAATGGAATCCAATGAAGCCCATTGCCGCCAATGGAGTCGATTGGGTGTTCTATTCAGTCCTATTGAATGCCACGAAGTCCCCTGGAGTCAAATGGAATCCAACAGTCAGCAAGAATCCTGTGGATTTCGATGGATTCCAATGCACTCCAGTGGAGCCCATTGGAGCCCAATTCGATTCAACGGGGTCCAATGGAGTCCTCTGGAGTCTGCGGGAGGCCCGTGGAATCGAATGGAGTCAAATGGAAGACAATGGACTCCACTGGAGTCCACTGGAATCTTGTAGAGTTCGTTCGTTCAGTCTGGCTATATCCATTTGGAGTCAACTTTGGTGTATGTTGACTGAGTTGGGCCATGTGGGAGCCCCCTGGAGACCGTATTGAAGCTTCTAGGCGCCATCTGGAAGTCATGTGGGAGCCTCTGGTGTCCTCTTGGGGAGCCATCTGGAAGTCATCCGTGCCTAGGTCCGCTCCTTTCCAGGGTCCAGTCCGGGTTCTGGATGCTAGAAAGACCTCCTCCCTCCTCTGGAGCTGCATTCATCTCGGTATGAATTCCAATGTGAGCTGTGAGGACGCCTTGCTGTTATTGTGTTACAGCGCGCTGGGCTCTTCTTTCCCTCGGGTTCTCAGAAGCTGTTTGGGAGCTGTATTCGGGGGCGGGTTCGCCTGTCATGGGGACCTGGAACCGTTTGGGGCTCTGGCTGGGCTTTCTGGGAATTTCTGAGGCCTCACCACATCGGCGCGTCTCTTGGGACACTCTGGGAGCTCTCTTGAAACGTCTGGGCACTCTTGTGTGCTGTCGTCAGGCTCTCTTGGTACGTTCGAGGCCCTTCGGGATACCTCTCTGTCTTGGGGCAATATCTGGGGCCGCTTTTTTGTCCCATGAAAGCGGGAAAACGAAACGGCGCCTTCGAAGCATTCTACATATAAGCATCAGCCATGTCACAGATCTATTCGTCCACCTGGATCTGTGAACAAGTCTGATGCATGCAACCGTCTTTACTGTCAACGGCGCACTAAACTGCATCAATAGAGTTTCCAGCCCCGCCCCAAAAAGTGCACTGTGCGCCTCGAACGGCGCATCGGGGGCACGAAGGCCAAATTCTTTAGCAGAAGATCTAGCTCGAATTCTGCGCGCCACGAACCATGCACTGGCAAAGCAAACCAATTCTGGCTCAACACCGAAACCGATCTGAGCCGACAGCACCCGGGCTGACCCCCACGCGCACAGCCAGAGGCACTTATAGCTGAGCACTGCCGTGGGAGGACGAGCCTGGGGAGCTCGGGGAGATCCAGGCATGGAGTCCAGCCAGCTCACTCGGAAGATGCCATCAGGGTTGCTTCCTCGCTGCGCAGCTGCGCAGAAGACCGGGCCCGGCGCGCTCGCGCCCACGCCGCCGCCGCGGCCGCCAGCAGCAGCGCGGGCGCCGCGGCCCGCAGCGCCACGGCCAGCGGGGCCGCCCAACGCGCCGCGGGGCCTCCTTCGCCGGCCCGCTGCGCGGGCGCCTCGCGCAGAGAGCTCCTCTGCACGAGGCCGATCGTGCCAGAGCACAGGTAGGCGCCCGCGGGCGGCAGGCACTGGCTGTACGAGGGGCCCCCCTGCGCTGTGCAGGTGCAGCCGGCCTGGCAGCGCGACGCGCCAGCCCGGCCGTCGCCCCCGCGCTGCTGGAACACGTCCGCGCAGCCCGCGGCGGAGGCGCCCGCACCCGCCGCCGCCGCCGGCTGGGCAGCCTGCGGCTGCTGCGGCAGCGACGGCTGCGGCTGCTGCGGCTGCTGCAGTGCCTGCTGCTGCTGCTGCTGCTGCTGCTGCTGCTGCTGCGGCAGGGCCGCGGCGCCCCCGCTCACCGCGGCGACGCCCGCAGCCGCGGCCTTGGGGAACCCCGTCGCCACGGCCTGGTCCGGCTTTGCGCCCTCGCCGGCGGTGTACGTGGACCCGATCTCCCCGTACATGATGTTGGAGTAGGTCACCGACGCGTCCGGGTACTTGGCGCGCACGTCCGCCGGCACGCCCGTGGTCTTGTCGCACGGGCCGCGCGCGACGCCCGGCGTGGAGTGGCCGCCCTCGCCCGCGTCCGAGTCGAGCCAAAGCATCTGGCACTGGTAGTCGTCCCACAGGGAGAGGACGAGCGTCATCCCGCGGCGCAGCGCCTCCCCCGTCTGCTTCAGGGCGCCCTTCTTGCGGAAATCGTCGGGGTCGCCGAACTTATCCTTCTGTGCGGAGCAGTACGCGTCGGTGATGGAGTCCCCGCCGTCAGAGCCGAGGATGCCGGCGTTCGAGTTCTTGATCACCTTGCCGCCCTGCACGTAGAGGCGCCTTATCTCCACGAGGTCGCCGTCGTCGGTGCCGTCGTCTGTCACGAACTGGGTCACCACGGTCATCGGCTGCGTGGTGTCCACCGTGAAATCGTCCCCCGGTCCGAAGAATTGCTGGTGGCCCATGCGGTACGAGTTGAAGTCGCAGCCATCCTTGTCGCAGACGCCATCGTAGCGCTCGTTCTTGGCGTTGTCGCCGCACTCCTTCCCCTTGCATCGGTGCACGGGTGCATCGTGAAGGCCGCGGCCATGGAGTTCGCCTCCCAGATGTCAACTTCCGCGCAGCACAGCCCGTGCTTGCCGAGAGCTGCGCTCGTGTTCCACTCGAGGGCGTTGCTCTTGCCTTGGGAATGTCTGGGGGGTCAGGTCTGTAGGAGAGCCCGCAGGGGCGTCGGCAGGGCCGTCTTAGTCGCTCGTTGCCGTGACTCTTGGTTCGCACATTTTCGCGTCAACGTGCTCTTGGTGCGCGAAATGTCTGGTCCAGATTTCCGTTGCACCGAGGGCCCAGCATGGCTTCCATCTAGAACTTCAAATTCTGAGGTCGTCTCACAGGGTTTCATTGCAAACGGCGCCTAACACGTCTGGGCAAAAGGCCGAAATCGATGTGTAAACGAGCTTAGAGGCCACGCGAATAACAAAAACGCCGCATCTAATGATATGGTGCACCCAAACGGACCTGCACTAACACACTGTCAAATCATGGGGCAACCAGCGCCCGTCGAACACAGCCGCGTTTAAGACCGGACAAGGCATCCTACAACAGGCCCGCGTTTCCGCGAAATGTTGTCGGGCGCCAGCGGTGCAAACCCCGCGGCCGTAGCGCGCTAACTGAGAAGACAGCCTGACGGCGATGTCTCTGCGCAAAGCGGCCAAATCCTGCCGCGCGCGCGGCGGCGCAGAGGCTGCCCCCGTTGCACTTCTCCACGCGCAACGGCCCAACGCATGCGTTTCCCGCGGGGGGCGACCCGGCGCCTCCGCGCGCGCGGCGGCGCAGGGGCTGCCCCCATCGCATTCTTACGCAAGCAGCTCAGCGCCGCCGCGCGCGCGGCGGCGCAAAGGTCGCCACCGTCAAAATTCTCCGCGCACGACGGCCAAGCGCCGCCGCGCGCACGACGGCGCGGGAACGGCTCGCGTTGCGTTTTCTGCTCGCGAAGGCCCCAGCCCGCCGCGCTCGCGGCGGCGAAGAGGCCGCCTCCATTTCGCCTCTCCATGCACGACGGCACAGCGCCGCCGCGCGCACGGAAGGGCCGAAGCTGGTCTCGTCGCATTTTGTCTGAGCGCGGCGGCCCAGCGCCGCCGCGCGCGCGGCGGAGCAGGGGCCGCCTCCATTGCGTTCCCTCGCGCACGCAGGCGGCCGCCGCGCGCGCGGCGGCGCAATGGCCGCTCGCGATGCGCTTCTCCGCGCACGACGGCCCAGCGTCGCCGCGCGCGCGGCGGCGCAGGGGCCGCCGGCGGCGCGTCTTCCGCGCGCGACGGCCCAGCGCCGCCGCGCGCGCGCGGCGGCGCAGAGACCCCCCCCCCGCTGCATGTCACAGCAATCGACGGCACAGCGACGCCGCGCGAGCGACGGCGCAGAAGCTGGCCTCGTCGCAATTTGCCCACGCGCGACGGCGCAGCGCCGCCGCGCGCGCGGCGGCGCAAGGGCCGCCTCCATTGCGTTCCCCTGTGCACGACGGCACGGCGCCCCCTCGCGCGGCGTCGCAGAAACCGCGCGGCGTCGCAGAAACCGCCGGCGCAGAGGCCGCTCCCGTTGCATGCCTCCACGCACGTCGGCTCAGCGCTTCCGCGCGCGCGCGGCGGCGTGGAGGCGTTGGCCGAGCGGTTGCCTCGGCGTCAGCCGAACGGTTGTTGCGAACTTCGATTGCCAGGGCCTCCCCTGTCTCGGCGTCAGCCATGCGATTTGGGCGGCGCGCGCTGCGCTGCACTCCTATCTGGCGCAGTGCGCGAGCGGTTTTTTGCTCAGGATTATCGAAGGGCGCCTTGTGTTTCGGCGCCAGCCGAGCGATTTGCGTGACATCCACCCACCAGAGGGCCCCAGTGCAAGGGTCTAGTAGGCCCTGGATCGCTCGAAGCGCAAGGGTCTGGGAGGCTCTGGGTCGACCGAGGCTTCGATAGCTTGGGCAGTGCTGGACCGTCCGAAACCAGACGGGCGCAAACAACTCCAGGTCACGAAACCCATTGGCCTGGGAAGCTCTGAATAAAACCGTTCGGGCACCCACCGCGAGCGCGGGTGAGCGCACCCAAGCGCTGGCGGCGTGCGTGGGCGGAGGCGCCCGGGCACCCGCGGCGCGCGCAGGCACCCGCGCCCGAATTGACGGCCCGAGTTGACCCCCCCGAGTTGGCCGCCCGAAAGTACCGACCAAAGGGGCCAGGCGAGTTGACCGGCCGAAGTGATCGGCCTAGTCGAACGGCCAAGTTGATCGGCCGAGTTGATCGGCCGAGTTAATGGGCCGAGTTGATGGGCCGAGTTGATCGGCCGAGTTGATGGGCCGAGTTGATCGGCCGAATTGATCGGCCCAGCTGATCGGCCAAATTGATCGGCCGAGTTGACCGCGCGCGCGCGTTGACGAGTTGATCGGCCCAGTTGGTCGGCCAAGTTGATCGGCCGACGGCCGACGCGCGCTTTGATGAGTTGATCGGCCAGATTGACCGCCCAACCGCGCGTTGACCGCCCCGCCGCGCGTTGACCAACCGAGTTGACCGCCCGGGTTGACCGCCCAGACGCGCGTTGATCGCCCCGCCGCGCCGTAACCGACCGAATTGACCGCCAAGGTTGACCGCCCAGCCGCGCGTTGACCGCCCGGCCGCGCGTTGGACCCCCGAATTGACCGCCCGAGTTGCCCGCCTAACCGCGCGCGGACCGACCTAGATCGGCCGCCCATAAGCCAGTTAACCGCCCCAGGTTGACCGCGCAACCGCCTCCCTCGCACGGGGCCGCGAAGGCGAATGGCGGGCGAGACTCGGCCACGACGCGCTGGGAGACACCAGCGGCCTCAGAGGCGCGTCCGATGGAAGGCCGCTCGCGCTGCGCTTTCCGCGCGCGGAGGTGCCTGGCCGTCGCGCGCGCGGGAAATCCAACGCGAGCGCCTTTCTAGCCGTCGCGCGCGGCGGCGCAGAGGCCCAATCTCGCTCGCGCGCGCCAGGCGGCGCCGCGCCGCCGCGATAGTCGAGCGTGCGAATGCCAAGTGCTGTCTGGTAGGGTTTCTCCATTCGCTGAGGGGGCTCGCCCGCCCCGCCGCGCGCTTTCCCGCGCGCCGCCCCTTCTCCCGAGGGTTCCCGGGCGACCGCGTTGACTCCCTGAGGCTCTCCAAGTCTCCCAAAACGGCCCCGGGTGGCAATCGGCCGCCAAGATGGCCCCAGGTTCTTTCTTGGACGGACAGAAATGGCTCCGAGACAAATCAACGCGGCACCACGGAGGCCCAGCACGGAACCAAGATGGTTCAAAGAAGCCCCCAATACGTCCCAGGACGGCCCAGGAGGGCTGCAAAAGGACCCCGAAAGACCCTAGACGACCGTTGATACGGCGCTTCGTTGGTTTGGGGACATAATCGCTTCCGGCTTCAATCAGCCCGAGACGGCCAACGAAGCCTCCCACGTTGCCCTGAGACGGCCCAGGACGCCGCGACAATGAGCCGAGAAACCTCCAGAATGCGGCACAGGACGGCCACAAGAGAGCCCCAAGACAGCCTACGAAGACAGCCGAAGGGATCCAAGACGGCCCGGGGGGGCCTCTCGACCCCCGACGGACCCAGGCGCCCCCGCGACGCCCCGACGAAGGCCGCAAGAGAGACCCAAGACGGCTCACGCGGGGCCCAGAGCAACCCAGGGAAGCCGCAAGGGGCCCGCAAGACGGCCCCACAGGAACCGAAGACTGCCCTGATACGGCCCAATTGAACTCCATGAGGGCTCTTCAAGAAATCCATTGGGAGTGCGCACGTGTGACAGCCTAATGTTTGTCTCTTTCGCATTATGGTCGCCGTCCTCGTCGCCGCCATCGCCGTTTCCATCGCTCGAACAGTCGCCGCCCAAAGTGCTGGACTGGCGCGGTGGAGGGACTTGCTTCTGGCAGCTGGGCGCAATGCGAAACGCACTCGGCGACGCGCACGCGGTGCTCTTTTCAGAAGACTCGCCCACTTCCTTCGGCTGTGCAACGCGAGTCCCCGCGCAACCAGCGCGTGATATCGAAGCCTCGCTGTTGAAGATGTGCGCTCGTGCGTTCGCCCGCTTCGCGCTGCGCGGTGCGACACAATACTCGCGCAGACGAGCGCGTGCTCGCGTGCCCCGCGGCAACGAGGCCGTTGGCGCCGCGGGCCATAGAACGAGCCACGCGTCACGGGACCCAAGGGGAACCGCGCCGTCGGTGAGCGATGGTGCACGCAGAACCCAAGAAATCAAGACCGCCCCCCCGTCGCAAATCTGAAGTCGATCTTCGTTGTTCTACCACGTGGGCCGAGGTCGCAGACAGGCGGCATCGCAAGACCGAGGCCGAAGACTAATACCGAGGCCGAAGACCAACTTGCATCGCAAGACACAACTGCAAAACCAAGGCCGAACACCGACGTCCTGGGGCACTGGTCGAAGCCGGCAGCCGCGCCTAGACCATCGGACAACCCACCCCGAAGACCGACGTATATGCAGTAGTGAAGAACAAACGACACTTTCAAGTGCACACCAACAGTACGAATATGGAGCCAGAGCTTAACCCAAACATAATTCAAAACAACAAATTGACCCCAAAAACCTTCACACCAAAACGAAAACTGATTTCCGTTTTAATCGCTTTCCCCGCCACTTCTGGGGCCATTCCTACAGACGACCCCGTTCTCTGACCCCCGGACAAACCCAAGTGTCTTGTCCTCCATGAAGTTCATGGAGGGCAAGAGTCTTGCCCTCCATGAACTTCACGTCATGGGGGCACTGGGCGTCACACTAGCCTGTCCCGTACTTGGCGCCAGCCTTGTTGCCCGCGTGCTTCATCCCCCCGTCCTCGTCCATCTCGCTGAAGTACAACGCGCCGTTCAGTCCGCAGGGAAGTGTGGAGACATCCACGTCGAAGGTGAACTCCCTGTTCAGGAGCTTGAACAGCTTGTACTTGCCTGGCTTCTCCAGGACGTACAGGCGGGACCCAACGTTCGGGCCGCGCACGAAGCCTAGCTCGACGCCTCCCGGGATCGCCGCGACGCCGTAGGTGCTGTCGTAGTCGTCCAGCGTGACGCCCTCCAGCGCGCAGTTCTCGGCGCAGGACTCCGGGTCGGGGCACATGGTGGAGTCCCACACGCCGTCGGTGAAGCAGTTGCCCGAGCTGTAGCACTGGGCGGTGGGGCCCGTGCCCTGGCAGGTCTGGCCGTGCACCCAGCGCCAGTTGGCGTCCAGAGTCAGGGCCCTCTGCTGCGCCTCGCAGCCCCCCTGCAGGGTGCACTCCGCGATCACAATGGGCGGCCCCTGCTCCTCCTTGGTCATGCCGGCCATCTGCGCTACGGCGACGGCCGGAAGGCACAGCACCGCCCACGCGAACTGCATGTTCTCTCTCCTTCGGCCGCAGATGCCGCTGCTGCGGAAGCGTCCGAGAGGGGGGGCGGGTACCGAAACGGCTGCTTCCGGGGCCAAAAAAGCTTGAGCCAAAATGGTTACGGGGGTCATCTTGGGGGCCGTCTTGGTACCTTCCTACGGACTCCCAAGACCACAGCAGAAATCCACAACAAAACAATACTACAAAATCTTCTGACCCCCTTGCTGGGGTTGACCAGGCGTGTGGGACTTTTGACTTCGCGCGCCACACACGTAACATCTTAATGTACACACGCCACATGTATACATATATATATATATATATATATATAAACATATATATGTAAATACACATACATATCCGCCATCCGCCACCGTGCCCATGTCACGAAGCGAAGCGGAGTGCCCCAAGGCTCGCAGCTGTTCTGCTGCAGCCAAGATTCTGCATCCTGAAGAACCCAGACACCCGGTTTCCCAGGCGCTCTCGGGCGGGGCCTTGAAGTGTTTCGCGTGGGCTTCGGTGTCCACGTCGAAAATGGAGGACACTGGCCTCGAGGACAGGCAATTGTAGAGTTATGCGTTCTGTTGGACCCTTTCTTCACTCTTCTTTGCTGTATTCTCTTTGTCTTGTGTTCGTGCGTGGGTGGTGTGTGTGCGTGTCTGTGTGTGAGCGTGTGTGTGTGTGTATGTGTGTGTGAGTGTGAGTGTGAGCGTGTGTGTGTGTGTGGTGTGTGTGGTGTGAGTGTGAGTACGAGTGTGAGTGTGAGTGCGAGTGTGAGTGTGAGTGTGAGTGTGTGAGTGTGAGTGTGTGAGTGTCTGTGTGTGTCGTGTGTGTGTCTGGGTGTGTGGTGTGTGTTGTGTGTGTGTGTGTTGTGTGTGTGTTGTGTGTTGTGTGCTGTTTGTGTTGTTTGTGTTGTGTGTGCTTTCTGTGTTGTTTGTGTTGCGTGTTGTGTGTTGTGTGTTGTGTGTGGTGTGTGGTGTGTGGTGTGTGTTGTGTGTTGTGTGTTGTGTGTTGTGTGATGTGTGTTGTGTGTGTGGGGGTATTTTTGGGGGACGTTCCTCTGGCCCCCCCCGGCCGCCCTTCCCTGCCGCTGCATTCCGCGTGTCCACCATTTCAGCGCACCCGGTACAGCGCCTCGTGGACCCATACGGTGCTCCACCGACAGCCCCAACAGCTGTGACCACGTGCGTCCCCGCCACAAATGCCGGCACACCGCTCTCACGCTTCGTGGCCCCACAGGCAGCTCCACCGAAAGCCCCAACGGCTGTGACCACATGCGTCCCCGCCACCCATGTCGGCACACCCCTCTCACGCTTCGTGGAAATACGGTGCTCCACCGAAGGCCCCAGCGGGGGTGACCACATGCGTCCCCGTCACCTATTTCGGCACACCCCTCACACGCTTCGTGGCCCCACAGGGAGCTCCACCGAGAATCCCCAACGGCTGTGACCACAGGCGCCCCCCGCCACTTCCGGCACACCCCTCACACGCTCCGTGGCCCCTCAAGGAGCTCCACCGAAGGCCCCAGCGGGGGTGGCCACGTGCGCCCATGCCACCACTTTCTGCGCACCTCTCGCACGTATCGTGGCCCCACGGGGAACTCCACCGAAGGCCCCAATGGCACCGGCCTTCACCAAAGAGGATACGCACCACCGCGGTACGCACAGCTGCATACGGTTGGGTCCTTCGCCTGCATATTTCCCATCCTGTGGTGTTGGGTCCTCGCTTAAAAGAGCCAGCGCCCCGTGTCCCCTCTCCTTTTCTCATTTCTCCTGTTCCTCCCTCCTCCCATCCCTGCCTCGGCATTGCGCGTGTCCACCATCTGGCACACCCCTCACACGCTTCGTGGCCCCATCGGGAGTTCCACCGATATCCCCCAGTGGTACCGCCCGCATGCGCCCCAGACGCCCATGTCCGCAAACCCCTGACACATTTCGCGGCCCCACTGGGAACCCCTTCCGAAGGTTTCACAGGCGCCGCCCGCATGCAGCCCAGCCGCCCACGTCGGCACACCCCTCACATGCTTCGTGGCCCCCCTTTTCCAGGTCCACCGAAGGCCCGCCCCAATGGCGCCGCCCGCATGAAACCCAACCGCTAATTTCGGCACACCCCTCACACGCTTCGTGGCCCCATCTTTTTACATATAAAAAACAAAGGCCCCACAGGCGCCGCCCGCATGCGTCCCAGGCGCCCATGTCGGCACACCCCTCACACGTTTCGCGGCCCCCTGGAGATGTCCACCGGGGGCCACAACTGGCGCCGCCCGCATGCGTCCCAGCCGCTCAGATCGGCACACTACTCAAACGTCCCGAAACCCCATAGGGAGGTCCACCGAGGGTCCCAGTGGCGCCGCCCGCATGCGTCCCAGCCGCCCATGTTGGCACACCCTTCGTGTGTTTCGCGGCCCCATCAGAGGATCGCTCCACCGAAGGGCCTCAATGGCGCCGCTCACATGCGCCCCAGCCGCCCATGTCGGCACACACTTTACACGCTTCGCTTCCCCATAAAAAAAAGGGAAATAAAAACAGGAAGAAAAAAAGAGCGGCACCTTCCGCACGCGTCCCAGGCATTCAAATCCGCACACTCATCACACGCATCGCGGCGCCCCTTTCCAGGTCCACCGAAGGCCCCAATGGCGCCGCCCGCAAACGCCCCAGCCGCTCATTCCGGCACAACCCCGAACACTCTTCGTGGCACCATCGGGATGTCCATTGAAAGTGTCAGTGGCGCCGCCCGCATGCGCCCCAACCGCTCATTGCGGCACACCCCTTACACGCTTCGTGGCCCCATAGGGAGATCCGCCGAAGGCCCCAGCGGGGGTGGCCACATGCGTGCCCGCCACCTATGTCGAGACACCCCATCACACGTTTCGTGGCTCAGTAGGGAGCTCCACCGAAAGCCCCAGCGGGGGTGGTCACATGCGTGCCCGCCACGTATCTCGGGGCGCCCATCCCACGTTTAGTGGCCCCATAGGGAGAAGACCCCAGCGACAGCGCCCCGCGCCCGCGGGAGAGAGGGGCTTGCGCGGCATCTGAACGGCTGCGCGTGGGACGACCTGCGCGCGGTGCCAGGACTCCTTCGGGGCGACCAGCGCGCGTCGCGGAGGCTCCGTGTTGCGTTCCGCACACCACCTCGTTCGCTCGTCGTCGCTCTGCCCAACGGCCAGCGCGTGGCCGGCTGTTGGCCAGCCAACTAGCTCTCTTTGCTCCGCGCAGCGGACGACCCGCGCGCGTCGCCAGGACCCCTGCGGGGCATGGGGCGCGCGTCGCGGGAACTCCGCGGTGCGCTCTGCTCAGAGCCGCGGTCACCAGGACGCAAGAACACAGAGGGGGAGCATCTGAGAGCCCACCATCCCGAACCGGCCTCCCCCCTTTACATCCCTGCCTGCACTGCCCCGCGCCTCGTTCTTCCTGCGGCGCGCTGCCTCCTGTGAGAGCTGCTCGGAGTTTGCGCGCCCCCTTGCTTCGTCTCATCTCCCTCGCGGCACTCGCAGCTGCACATGAATGGGTCCTTCGCCAGGCTAATGTTTGTGGGGGTGCGCGCCCCCCCCCCCCCCAAAAAAAAACACGGAACATCCGCCGCGTTGTTTTCTCGGGGGGGAACGAAGACGAACAAGTCCATACACACACATACACACACACACACACGCACGCACGCACGCACGCACGCACGCACGCACGCACACGCACACACACACAGGTCTACCAGGGCTGACAGGGCTTGACAAGGCTTAGCTAGGCTTTCCAAGCCTTAGCAGGGCCCACCAGGGCTCAGCCAAGCGCGGCAGGACGTAAGGGTTCGCAAATATCAACATGGCTCAGCAAAGCTTGTGAAGGCCGAACAAGTCTCAGCAAGGCTTAGCAAGGCTTAACCAGTTTTCGCATGCGGAACTTGTATTAGCAAGGCCTAGCAGGGATTAGCAGAGCTTGCCGGGCCTCAGCAGGGCTTACCAAGAGCCTAGTAGGACAGAGCGGAGCTTGCCTGGGCTGAGGAGGGAGCACCAGGAGTTAGCAGTGGCTCGCAGAGCCTGCCAGGGCTTGGCAGTGGCTAGCAGCGCTCAGCAGGGCGCACAAGGATTAAGCAAGGCTTCGCAGAGCTTGCCAGGGCTCAGCGATGCCTACCAGGCTCAGTAGGGCTTCGCAATGCTTACCAAGGCCTGAGCAGGGCTTACGAAGGCTTAGCAAGGCTTACTAGGCGCTTACAGGGCTTGAGGCCTCGCAAGGAACAGCAGGGCTTAGAAAAGCTTGCCAAGGCTGCGCAACGCTCAGCAAGGCTGAGCATGGCGCAGCATAGCTTAGCAAGACTTGCCAAACTTAGCTGGCATAGCAGAGCTTACCAGGGCTCAGCAGGGCGCGCCAGCACTTGGCACTGCTTTACAGAGCTTGCCGGGGCTTCACAGTAGCTAGCAGCTGCCTTATCAAGGTTTGGCCAGGCTTCGCAGAGCAAAGCTTGCCAAGAATGAGCAAGGCTCGGCAAGGCTTCCCAGGGCTTAGCCAAGATTGCCCAGGCTGAGCAAGACTGAGCAAGGGTGAGCACGGCTTAACGGTACTGACCAGGTATCTGCAGGGCTTCGCAAGGCTTGCCAAGGCTTCGCATGACTTAGCAGAGCTCACCAGGGTGGAGCAGAGTGTGGCAAGGTTCATTCAGAATTCGGGGCTTACTCGGCACTACCGCGGCTTAGCAAGGATTCGCTCAGCCTAGCGGGGCCAAGCAAAGCTTGCCAGGGCTCCGAAAAGTATACAAGAACTTAACAGGGCCTTGCAGTGCTTGCCAGGGCTTAACTGTGCCTAGCAGTGCTCAGCAGGGCGTACCAGGACTTAGCAGGGCTTTGCAGAACTTGCCAGGGCTTGGCAATGCTCAGCAGGCTCAGCAGGGCTTAGCATAGCTCTTCCCTCCGCCTCCACAGCAGCCCAACTTAATCCAGTGGAGTCGATCGGAGGCCAATGGGGTCTGGGGGGGAGTCCAATGGAGTGGTATGTTGCTCTATGGTGTCCAATGGAATTCAATGAAGCCCATTGACTCCAATGGAGTCGACTGGGTGTTCCATTCAGTCGAAAGAAATCGTACGAGTGTGCTAACTAGTCCTGTTGAGTTCCATGAAATCCCCTGGAGTCAAATGGATTCCAATCGTCCGCAAGAGTCCTGTGGATTTCGATGGATTCCAACGCACTCCAATGGAGCCCATTGGAGCCCCACTCGGCTCAACGGGGTTCAACGGAGTCCTCTGGAGTCTGCGAGAGGGCCCATGGAATCGAATGGAGTCAAATGGACGACAGTGGACTCCACTGGAGTCCACTGGAATCTTGTGGAGTCCGTTCGATCAGTCTGGCTATATCCATTTGTAGTCAACTTTGGTGTGTGTTGACTGAGTTGGGCCATGTGTTTCCCCCTAGAGACCGTATTGAAGCTTCTAGGCGCCATCTGGAAGTCATGTGGGAGCCTCTGGTGTCCTCTTGCTCTCCCTTGGGACATCTGGGTAGGTCCGCTCCTTTCCAGGGTCCAGTCCGGGTTCTGGATGCCCTCCCTCGTCCGGAGCTGCATTCAGCTCGCTATGAATTCCAATGTGAGCTGTGAGGGCGCCTCGCTGTCATTGTGTTACAGCGCGCTGGGCTCTTCTTTCCCTTTGGTTCTCAGAAGCTGTCTGGAAGCTGTATTCGGGGGCGGGTTTGCCTGTCATGGGAACCTGGAACCGTTTGGGGCTCTGGCTGGGCTTCCTGGGAATTTCTGAGGCCTCACCACATCGGCGCGTCTCTTGGGACCCTCCGGGGGCTCTCTTGAAACGTCTGGGCACTCTTGTGTGCTGTCGTCAGGCTCTCTTGGTACGTTTGAGGCCCTTCGGGGTACCTCTCTGTCTTGGGGGAACATTTTGGGCCCCTTTTTTGTCCCTTGACAGCGGGAAAACGAAACGGTGCCTTCGAAGCACTCTACATATAAGCATCAGCCATGTCACAGATCTACGCGTCGACCTGGATCTGTGAACAAGTCTGGTGCATGCAACCGTCTTAACTGTCAACGGCGCACTAAACTGCATCAATAGAGTTTCCAGCCCCGCCCCAAAAAGTGCACTGTGCGCCTCGAACGGCGCATCGGGGGCACGAAGGCCGAATTCTTTAGCAGAAGATCTAGCTCGAATTCTGCGCGCCACGAACCATGCACTGGCAAAGCAAACCAATTCTGGCTCAACACCGAAACCGATGTGAGCCGACAGCACCCGGCTGACCCGGCACGCGCACGGCCAGAGGCACTATAGCTGAGCACTGCCGTGGCGAATCGTATCTCACGGGGCGAGGGTCGCCCCAAGTGGAGCCGCAGGGCCGACCGGACGGGGCGGGGCATGCTCCAGCTTGAACTGCACAGAGCCGAGGAGGAGGGAAGCGGCGGAGGACGAGCCTGGGGAGCTCGGGGAGATCCAGGGATGGAGTCCAGCCAGCTCACTCGGAAGATGCCATCAGGGTTGCTTCCTCGCTGCGCAGCTGCGCGGAAGACCGGGCCCGGCGCGCTCGCGCCCACGCCGCCGCCGCGGCCGCCAGCAGCAGCGCGGGCGCCGCGGCCCGCAGCGCCACGGCCAGCGGGGCCGCCCAACGCGCCGCGGGGCCTCCTTCGCCGGCCCGCTGCGCGGGCGCCTCGCGCAGAGAGCTCCTCTGCACGAGGCCGATCGTGCCAGAGCACAGGTAGGCGCCCGCGGGCGGCAGGCACTGGCTGTACGAGGGGCCCCCCTGCGCTGTGCAGGTGCAGCCGGCCTGGCAGCACGACGCGCCGGCCCAGCCGTCGCCCCCGCACTGCTGGAACACGTCCGCGCAGCCCGCGGCGGACGCGCCCACGCCCGCCGCCGCCGCCTGGGCGGCCTGCGGCTGCTGCGGCAGCGACGGCTGCGGCTGCTGCGGCTGCTGCAGTGCCTGCTGCTGCTGCTGCTGCTGCTGCTGCTGCTGCTGCTGCTGCTGCTGCTGCTGCTGCGGCAGGGCCGCGGCGCCCCCGCTCACCGCGGCGACGCCCGCAGCCGCGGCCTTGGGGAACCCCGTCGCCACGGCCTGGTCCGGCTTTGCGCCCTCGCCGGCGGTGTACGTGGACCCGATCTCCCCGTACATGATGTTGGAGTAGGTCACCGACGCGTCCGGGTACTTGGCGCGCACGTCCGCCGGCACGCCCGTGGTCTTGTCGCACGGGCCGCGCGCGACGCCCGGCGTGGAGTGGCCGCCCTCGCCCGCGTCCGAGTCGAGCCAAAGCATCTGGCACTGGTAGTCGTCCCACAGGGAGAGGACGAGCGTCATCCCGCGGCGCAGCGCCTCCCCCGTCTGCTTCAGGGCGCCCTTCTTGCGGAAATCGTCGGGGTCGCCGAACTTATCCTTCTGTGCGGAGCAGTACGCGTCGGTGATGGAGTCCCCGCCGTCAGAGCCGAGGATGCCGGCGTTCGAGTTCTTGATCACCTTGCCGCCCTGCACGTAGAGGCGCCTTATCTCCACGAGGTCGCCGTCGTCGGTGCCGTCGTCTGTCACGAACTGGGTCACCACGGTCATCGGCTGCGTGGTGTCCACCGTGAAATCGTCCCCCGGTCCGAAGAATTGCTGGTGGCCCACGCGGTACGAGTTGAAGTCGCAGCCATCCTTGTCGCAGACGCCATCGTAGCGCTCGTTCTTGGCGTTGTCGCCGCACTCCTTCCCCTTGCACAGATAGGTGCCATCGATGGTGCACGGGTGCATCGTGAAGGCCGTGGCCATGGAGTTCGCCTCCCAGATGTCAACTTCCGCGCAGCACAGCCCGTACTTGCCGAGAGCTGCGCTCGTGTTCCACTCGAGGGTGTTGCTCTTGCCCTCCATGAACTTCACGTCATGGGGGCACTGGGCGTCACAGTAGCCTGTCCCGTACTTGGCGCCAGCCTTGTTGCCCGCGTGCTTCATCCCCCCGTCCTCGTCCATCTCGCTGAAGTACAACGCGCCGTTCAGTCCGCAGGGAAGTGTGGAGACATCCACGTCGAAGGTGAACTCCCTGTTCAGGAGCTTGAACAGCTTGTACTTGTCTGGCTTCTCCAGGACGTACAGGCGGGACCCCACGTTCGGGCCGCGCACGAAGCCTAGCTCGACGCCTCCCGGGATCGCCGCGACGCCGTAGGTGCTGTCGTAGTCGTCCAGCGTGACGCCCTCCAGCGCGCAGTTCTCGGCGCAGGACTCCGGGTCGGGGCACATGGTGGAGTCCCACACGCCGTCGGTGAAGCAGTTGCCCGAGCTGTAGCACTGGGCGGCGGGGCCCGTGCCCTGGCAGGTCTGGCCGTGCACCCAGCGCCAGTTGGCGTCCAGAGTCAGGGCCCTCTGCTGCGCCTCGCAGCCCCCCTGCAGGGTGCACTCCGCGATCACAATGGGCGGCCCCTGCTCCTCCTTGGTCATGCCGGCCATCTGCGCCACGGCGACGGCCGGAAGGCACAGCACCGCCCGCGCGAGCTGCATGTTCTCTCTCCGTCGGCCGCCGATGCCGCTGCTGCGGAAGCGTCCGAGAGGGGGGGCGGGTACCGAAACGGCTGCTTCCGGGGCCAAAAAAGCTTGAGCCAAAATGGTTACGGGGGTCATCTTGGGGGCCGTCTTGGTACCTTCCTACGGACTCCCAAGACCACAGCAGAAATCCACAACAAAACAATACTACAAAATCTTCTGACCCCCTTGCTGGGGTTGACCAGGCGTGTGGGACTTTTGACTTCGCGCGCCACACACGTAACATCTTAATGTACACACGCCACATGTATACATATATATATATATATACAAACATATATATGTAAATACACGGTCATCCGAGAGGGGGGGCGGGTACTGAAACGGCCGCTTCTGGTACCAAAGAAGCTTGAGCCAAAATGGCTTGAGCCAACATGGTTACGGAGGTCGTCTTGGGGGCCGTCTTGGTACCCTCCTACGGACTCCCAAGACCACCTTAAACAGACAAACGCAACAAACAACACTACAACATCCTCCGACCCCCCTTGCCGGGGGGTGACTAGGCGTAAGGGACGTTCGGCTGTCCCCCCCCTCTCCCCCTTCCCAAGGGCTCCAAATCCAACTATTGGACCTCAACGACGCACCTCTTGGGATCGACAGATCCCCAGTCCAGCCTCTGCGGTCTCCGAGAAGTCCATGACGCACTCGACGATGGCTCAGGAAGGGCTCACAGGCCAGAGAGGCCTCAAGAACACCCAAGACAACCTCACGACGGGCCAGAAAGGGTCCCGGGGCACACCCGGGGAGCCCGGAGAGCCCTAGGGAGCCCACGAATCCACCCTCCGCGGTCTCCAAGAAGTATACATGACGCACTCGACGATGTCGGGGAGGGCTCACGCGCCAGAGAGGCCTCGAGCACACCCAAGACGACCCCACGACGGGCCAGGAAGGCCCCGGGAGGCACACCGAGAGAGCCCCGAGAGAACCCCCGAGAGGGCATCAAGAAACAAAACGGCGTTGATTCGCTAGAGGCCTCCTAGATGGGGTCAGAGTAGATTGGGTTGGAGGATCGCGCCGCATCGCCGATACATCGGCGATGCATCCGCGATGCAACGGCGATGCACCGACGATGCGCCGGTGATGCATCATCGACGTGGGCGATGCATCGGCAACGTCGACGTGAAGGAGATCGGGCTCCGCATCGAGCCGCATCGACGATGTTTCGGCGATGCGGCGCGATCCTCCGACCCCATCTACTCCGACCCCATCCAGGAGGCCTACAGTGGAGGCCAGTCCACGAGAAACCTTCAACAAGAAACCCAACCCTGAGACCCCAGGACGTCCATTGATTTTCGGCGTGGGAACGTCGCGCTTTCCAGAGCAGGACCGTCGAAACATAAGAAACTCGGGGCACCCTGCAGGCCAGCAGGGTGCTTCTTGGCATGGGCCCCCACTGTAGATTCTCAGATGGCTTCCTTGGTTTTTGAGCTCGAGACTTACGGAGCCGAACTCTATACACCGACGCCTTTATCTGGCCTCACACTGAATCTCGCACAAAAAGGCGGATCCTGGTGTATACGGGATCCTGGGGTATACATTTCATGTTGTTTCCCCGGGAACACGGGGAAAATAGTATACACCACACCACCCCCACGTCGTCCCCGACCCTCCAAAAAGTCCTGGCATTGAGAAGCCGCCCGCCACTGGTAACGTAGATGCTCCAGCTTCCGCTCAGACTCTCGCCTCCCGTTTGGACGCCCGAAATGGGTACGGAACAAATTGGTACAATGCACAACAACACATGTCCCAAACCAACAGCGGCCGCTGTTGGGCAGGCGGCCTCCTGTCTCGAATGGACACAGGCCGCGGCGACACCGACAGCGAGTCCTGTTCAAAATGAGCAAGAACTGCTGTTGGGCATTTAGAGGCCTCCTAGATGGGGTCCGAGTAGACGGGGTCGAAGGATCGCGCCGCATCGCCAATGCATCGCCGATGTATCGGCGATGCATCGTCGACGTCGGCGATAAATCGGCAACGTCGACGTGAAGGAAATCGGGCTCCGCATCGAGCCGCATCGTCGATGCATCGGCGATGCGGCGCGACCCTCCGACCCCATCTACTCCGACCCCATCTACGAGGCCTAAGGCATTGTACCCGCTCTCTCCGTACCCATTTCGGGCGTCCAGATCCCGGGGCAAGCCCCGCAGGCGGTCCGCGAGGCCAGACCAGACCGGCCCACCGCGGCCCGCGAGGGCCACGGAAGGTCCCCGAGACGGCCCCCGGGCGGGAAGCGACAAGGCGCAGAGGCCCCCCGGGGGAGGGCGGCCCAGAGGAGGCCCTCGAGCGGGCCCCCCAAAGAGGGGGAGCTCGCAGGGACCGCGGGGGCCCCCACCACAAAATGGCCCCCATACCCACCCCTGTCGTGCCCCCAAGAGGGCCCCGCAAAAAGCTCCCGGGAGGCCACCCCTGAGGCCCCCGTGAGGCCCCCGAGCAGTCCCCGCAGCAGGCGTGGAGGAAGAGGAGGACCAATGGGCAACAACTGCACGCAGGCATTACGACGGGAAGCGGCAAAACAGCACACACGATACCGGAAGCCGCACAGGGGTCGACGGATTGGCGCACGCCGCTTAACTGAGAAACGATACGCTTTCAGGAGGGCCGGTCCGGGGCCTCTCTTGGGACCTCTCTTGTGGCAGCCCGTGCGTTTCGTAACGCGCCGTTTGTGGCCCGTTGCGCTTTGGATGGCATCTGGGGCCGTCTTCGGAGCTTCCCGACGCCCACCTTCCCCGAAGCGGGATGGAGGGGGGGAGGGGGGGAGGAAGGAACGGAGGGAGGGAGGAACGGAGGGAGGGAGGGAGGAGGGATAACTGCGGGGGGGGGAAAGGACGGAGGACGGAGGATGGAGGAGGGAGGATGGAGGAGGGAGGGAGGGAGGGAGGAGGAAAAGGAAGAGGGAGAGGAAAAGGAGGAGAAGGACGAGGAGGAGAAGGAGAAGGAGGCGAGGCGCGCGCGAGTCGATCCGCTGGTCGACCCGCTTCAGCGGTAAGACTCGCAAGGTCCCCATGCGTGAGTACTATGCAGCAAGGACCCGACAACCCTTCGACATCGTATCCAAGCCACTGCCAGGGCTTGCGCAGGGGCGGATCAGGCGGCCTCCCCTCCACTCGCTCCCCCGCCCCCCGCCTCCACCACAGGCTAGCGCGCGGTCCGTTCGCAGGGAACCCACTCGCGAGTCAGATTCCTCTCTGTATGCTGCGGAGAAGAGGACCGATGACAAGATACTAAGAGATGGGAAGGGGGGAACGCTGGGCGAGAAGGTCCGCACTCCGAGATGCCCTCGCTCGCGCGCGCGGCTCTCCCTTCGAGGGCTAATTGCATATTCTTCCCCGCGCCAAACGCGCTCAGTTGAACCCCTGTGCTTTCCCATTCTGACAGAGCGTAATGTTCACGGGGTAGCACTTGCGCAGCTGTCTCCCATGCTGGCAAGAACTCCAATACTTCCCCGTTCTCCCCCCCCCCTCAAAAAAAAGAAACACGAATTCCACTCCTGGCAAAGTGAGACCGGTGCCGCTGGAAGCCGATTGGTTCTGCAATTCATCAGCAGAAAAAGGAATGACAAATTTACTCCCACATAATGTCATAGATACCGTCCAAAGTTCGTCCGTTGCGCTCACGTGTCCGCTCTTCGATGACGAACCCTTCCAAAACTGTGTCTTTAACCACTAAAAGCTCAGAAAGAGCCCCCGCCGGGAAATGTTGCCGGCCCCTCTGCCTCAGTTTTCTAATCCTTCTCCACCTCCTTCTCCACCTCCCCCGCGCCTGCACACTCCCTCTCTGAATCACAGAAGCGTTGCTGTCTCAGGGTCATCCATCATTGAAGAGCATGGGATGTCGAAGCTCGTCATCGGCACCAGTCGGTGGCCTCTGAACCTCGGGGCCTCCATCTTCCCAGAACTCCTTCGCTCTCCGGCAAACGAGTCGATCTCCTGGGACAACATTTCCAAACAATTCGGTTAGCCTCCATATTTTGAGACCTCCTTCTCGTCCGTCTCACCGCGGGAGTCCACGGGTTTTCGAAGTCAGTCATCGGCAGAAGCCAATGACCTCCGAACCTTGGGGCCTCCATCTTCCCTTTTTGTCACCTGCTTTCGTCTGCGCCGCGGCCACGAGGCTCTCTCAGCGCTTCTGGCGCTGCAGTGCTTCGACTCGGCGCCCCCCGAGGCGACTCGAGTGCAGCGGCCCTCTTCAAGGGGGAGCAGGTGGCCACGGCTGCCCAGCCTTGACTCCAGCTCTACTCGGCCCAGAATAAACGAATGCGAAGCAAGGCCAATCGGATTCCACTGGCGGAGCTGATCTTCGATCTCCTGTGACAACGCTTCAAATCTGGAAGATCCGCTGGTAATCGAGACGGGCTGCTCCTGGGCCCGCGCGGGCGCAGGCGCTGAGGGGGAGCCGACGCGGCTCTGCAAACTCCCCTGGCAGCTCTTCACCCTGGGCCCCACAGGACGCAAAAGGGGGGGAAGCCGAGCAAGCTCTACAAACTCCCCTGCTGCCGTCTGTCCTCTCCTTTCGTGTACCTTGCTGCAGTTCGCCTCGATGTCCGCTCCCTCGACTTGAGCAGCCATATTTTCACACATAGCAATCCTGGCAAGCTGGCATTTCCGCGCGTGGGTGCGGCGGGTCCGTTCTCTGCGTCTTTGCCTTTTCGATTTTTCCAGATCGCACTCCAATGTTGCAAAACATTGAAAGATGCAGTACAAGATAAATCCATCACTGATTGACGACCCAGCCACTCTGGGAAATGTCACAAAGAGGTATACGGTATCGGAAAAGGCTGCAGAGATTGTTATGTTTGTTGTTCTCCTTGTCCCCCCCTGGCCCTGGCAGAGCAACCAGTGTGGCTGTCAGAGTCCGTAAGTCGTGTGAGTGAGGAGTGTCAGTGAAAACCCTCCCTCCGTCGGGGCTCAGAATGTCTGAGCTCCAGCGCCGACTAGGAGTAGGAGGAGGAGGAGGAGGAGGAGGAGGAGGAGGAGGAGGAGGGAGACCCAGACCTCTGGCGGCTGAATTACTTCAGTCCCCGATTTTGGGTTGCTTCAATGTCGGCCTCTGGGGGGCGCTTCTGGGCTTCTTGAACCGACTCTTGAGCAGGGACCGACCGTCCAAGCATTTCTTTAGTCCTACCACGAGATGTTCTTAGAACCCGAAAATGTTCTAAGAACGAAAACGATGTTCTTAGAACATAAACCCGATGTGTTAAAACAAGGCAATCTCCACCAAACATGTTCTAAGAACAGTTCGTAAAAACCACAACCGGTTCTTAGAACATTGTTTGGTGGGGCTATAGGCGAGCCGGGGCGCTTCGCCACTGCTTGACTTGGGGGCCTTTTGGAGCCACCCTGCGCTGCCCTGGGCTCCTCCACGAGGCCCCTCGGCCGGGCCCTCTCGGGGCCGTCCTGGGCCATGAGCGGTCCCACCTGGAGCTCTCTTTCCCCGGACGCTCCGACTGACTCCTCCGACGCCCTCCTCGACTCCTCCGCCCCCGACGCGGGAAACGCGGATCCCGCGGAATCCTCTAGAGCCCAGTTTGGAAGGTACGACGCTCCCCGTAGGGCCGCCCGGGGGGCTCCTGCTCGGGCGTCGGCAGAACTGGGCTTCGTGGTACCTGGTTTAGTGATTTGTACCAGGGGCGACCCCCGATCCCGTGTCCACTAGCCGGAACTGCCGTCACCCGGAAAAACACCAGTTACGGCAAACCTGGTTTCGTGAATCTGGCCAAGGGGCCCTGCCGCGAACCGGGTCCCCTTGCCTGGGGTCCTGGCGCTACACCCGACCCGAGGTCTCCGGGAGGGAAGCCGTGGGAGCCAAGGGGGAAGCTCCAGGATGAGGAGGGGGGCACTGCCACGCCGCCCCGCCCCCCCCCCGCGGCCTGGGGCGAGATATTGCGCGCACCCCTGACAGACAAGGGCAACACGCCATGGATAATTCGGGAATGGACGGACCCCCTCTCGCAAAGCGTGGTTTAGTGAAAACGACCTAAGGCCCAAACCTGGCGGGCGCAAGCCTGGAAAATAACGGCCACGGCGCCCTCTCGAAAACCGGAAACGGACAATTCACTAATCGACGTGTCACTGCTGGGGGTTCTGTCCACCCCCGAATAATACATAAGGCAACCGAGGCAACCACACAGGCAGCACACGTGGCGGACTCCGGAAAAAAGCCCTGAACCCGAAAAAATTGTCGTCCCTTCGGGTGCACCTGTTCCTTCCGCCAAGGTTCGCTGGCACCCCGCCGGTTCCCGCCGGCGGAGGCGGCCTCGCTTTGGTTCCGCCGACCCTCCGCCGCCTTCCGCCGCGGAGGAGATGACAACGCCTTCGATGCTCGAAGGCGAGGCCCTGTTTGGAACGCCTCATGTGGAGGAGGAGAACACACGCAAAACACACACACACACAAACACACACACACACACACAAAACACACACACAAAACACACACTGTGGGAAAACACACACACACAAAAACACACACACACACAGTGGGAAAAAACACACACACACACACACACACACACACACTATGTGTGTTTGTTTCCCACAGTGTGTGTGTGTGTGTGTATGTGTGTGTGCGTGTGTGCGTGTGTGTGTTTGTCTGTGTGTGTGTCTGTGTGTGTTTTTCACACTGTGTGTTTGTGTGCTTGTTGAACCGAGTGGTCCTCAGAGCCGAACTCCGCCATGCGGCCAGGGCGCGCGAGGTCTGCCGCCAACCTGGGCGCGCCCGCGGGGCCCCTTCGCTCATCCCCCTTCCCTATCCTCCTCTCTTGCTATATACAGTGCAGTCGGGGCGTTGACCTAAGGAACCCTAAATAAGGAACGAGGCCCCTATTTTCCATCAGTTGAACTTCGATTTCGTATCGAAAACCTCAGGAAAACCTAAGGCAAGCTGCGAAACGATTAAGGAGCACGGAGCCCCTCCCCAACGAAAAGGGTTCCTTCTTCAGGGCCCCGACTGTATACATGTCCACATACACATGTGTATAGATGTTATAAATCAATGTATATATGTTTGGATGCATACGTTTGTGTAAGCGTATCTGCAAATATACGGGCATCGATCCCTATCGTGTTGTATTTCTCTCTCTCTCGTTACTTCTCTATTTGTTTTCTCTCTCTCTCTCTCTCGCTCTCTCTCTCTCTCTCTCCCTCTCTCTCTCCCTGTCGTACCCTTGCCTGCGCACCCTTCGATTGATGGATACCGTGTTCTTCCATACCCCCATGTGGTTTTGATGATTTCTGACTCGGCATCAGCAGCACAACGCCCCGCCGTCTCCTCTCGCCCTCCCCTCCCTACTCTCCCCCGCCTCATCCTCCTGTACTTGCCCAAGTCGGCGCACCCTAATGTAGGGAGCTTCGCACGCAGTACTACAGGCCAGCTCGGCACACCTTGCGCACACGCGCCCCCCGCCCATTTCGGCACACCCCTCAATCCTATTGTGGCCCTACAGGGTGGTGTTGAGACACCTTCAGCCCCTGTACCGAAGTCCCCGGGTGAGTGTATGGGCCCTGGCTCGCCTATGAAGGTCGGCCAGGTTCCCCATGGGCCCGCGCCGGGAGTTCGGCGCGGAATCCCGTGGAGGCGACGCCGTGGTCCCACGGAAGGTCCGTTAGCTGTTCGCCTCAGCAACGCGGATGGCAGCACGCGCGTGGCAGCGCGCGCCCTTTGCTCACCACGCTGGCGAGCTCGGAAGCTGCTGCGGCGATCCCTTCCCTTGCCCTGGCCGCCCCGAGGAAACGCAGGCGCAGGAGCAGGATCAGCATCAGGGGAGTGGTGGAAGCCCAGACCCCCCCCCTCCCCCGCAACCCAACCCCCCGGGGAGCGAGGGGGGACGGGGCCACCGTTCAAAGGCAAAGCGTGCCCAGCACGAGGGGTAGTTAAAACACACAGGGAGGTCCCGCCTCGGGCTGCAGCGAGGGCATTCACAGGCGTCTGCCCGCCCGTTTGAGCACGCACACACACACACACACCATGCGGACCGTGACCCTTCAAGGAGCTCCACCTACGGCCACATTGGCCAAGTTCGTATGCGTCCGCCCCGCCCACGTGCACCCATCACACGGATCGTGCCCCACTGGAAGCGCAACCAACGACCCTAGTGGCCAAGTTCGCATGTCTCGCCCCACCGATGTCTGCACAGCCCTCACGCGGATCGTGCCCCAGGGGAGGCTTCAACTACGGCCCCCATGGCCAGGCTCGCGTGCGCCACCCGCCCACTACGGCATACCTGTCACATGGATCCTGACCAACAAGTGAGCTACATCTGCGGCATGATTGAAGGTGTTCACATGCATCTCCACGCTCGTTCCGGCATACCGCTCACGCTGATCATACCGCTCAGGGACTTCAGCGCGCCTCTGCCTGCGCGCTCCGCAGCCACCTTAACCTCACCATCCCGCAGCGCGCACGGTCAACCCGTATCATAAGGATGCGCGGTGAGGACGCAAGAGCCTCGGAGGCCCATGTTAACGGTTCTCGAACAGGATTGGCCAGCGAACGTCGCTAAGGATCTAAGGATGGGCCGAAGGGGCAAGGATGCTAGGGTGCCCTTGGGAATGCTGCCCATCCTGACTGTGCGGGTTGCCTGAAGTACATGAAGAGATGGTCACGACCTACACTGCACGCAGATGCATCGGGTGGGACCTGCCACCAGGCTGATTTCCTGGGTGGCGATGCGGGCAGTTCGCCATGTGGCTTGACCTATACGACCACCCTTCAGGTGATACGGAGGTTGGAGGGGGAAGAACCCGCTGATGACAACTGCGATGACTGTGATTGTGACGATGCTGGTGATGCGCTCACGAGTTGGCGTCGATGTAAGACGACATTGCTGGCGACACTACGTGACGGCTAATTATGCTGACGACAATGCATCGACTGGATTGCAACCCGTTGGGACACCATCGGGACACTATCGGGACACCCTCAGGGCAACATCGGGACAACATCGGGACACCACGGGACACCGCGGGACACCGTCGGGACACCATCGGGACACCACAAGAGCTCCACCAGGACACCGGCTGGACACCAACCGGGACACCAATCAAAACACCAATGGCGGATACAGAAAAAGCAGCGCCATGGTATGGGGTTGGGAGGGAGGAGTAGGATGTCAGATATGACGCGAGCGCACCTAGCTTGCCCCCTCCCCTCCCCCCTCCCTCCTCCCGCCTCCCTGCCCCCACGGCCTCCTTCCCGCCTGCCTCCCGCCTCCCTGCCGCTTGCCTCCCGCCTCCCTCCCGCCCGCCCCTCCCCCCTCCCGCCTCCCCGCTCCCTCGGACCCCCAACGCTCACCACCCCACCGCCCTCAGCTCTGCCGCTCGGGAACCCTCCCAGACATGTTGGCTCAGGAGGGCCCCCACCGCCTTGTCCCACACGTCTCGCTGCCTCCTGCTCCGCCTTCGCCCTCCCCAGACATCCGACGTCTCGATTTTTTCGAGACACGGGCCCCCGACATCCCGACCACTTCCCCGGGACCGGTGTTCCACCCCGAGTCGCTCTTTGACGGTCCCGAGGCCCGGCGAGGGCCCCGAGAGGCCGAAAACGACGAAAAACCTCCGCCTCGATGTTTTCGAGACGCCCGATGTCTGGGCACCCCGCTCACGGCGCCACCCGCCTCTGACGACCTACCAGACCACCCCAACCCAACCCGAAGACCCGAATTTCGGGTTGGGGGGGGTAAGGGTTCCACACGTGTTTTTTCGATGTTTCCCGACCCCCCCCCCCACTGGAAATCGAGGGAAAATCTGAGCCTTCGGGTTGGGTTGGGGTGGTTTGGTGGGTGGTGAGCCTCGGGGCGCCCCCTGTGGGACGTCCTCGGGGCCAACCTCCCGGACCACCGGGGACCGCGCGCAGCACCTCCCGAGAGGGAGGGCGCCCCTCCGCCGGCCCCCGGCCCCCGCCCTGCCACTGCCAGCCTTCCGTCGGGCGGGCCCCCCCACGGGGGGGATTTTCGACGAAAATCAAAAATACCCCAAAAACATGCCCCAACAAGGTCAAACAAATACTCCAAAAATATTCCCCAAACTATGTTTGGACTATGTTTAAATTATTTCTGGGGTATCTTTTTTATTTTTCGTCGGAAATCCCCCTGTAGGGGGACACGCCCGACTTCATGCCGGCCCCGCCCTGCCCGTGCCGGCCGAGCTCCCCGCCGGGGCCCCAGCTGCCGCAGCTTCAGGCAGCTCTGGGAGCCCAGCGCCCAAAGCAGCCTGGACAGCTCCTGCCCGCCCCGCCCCGCCCAGGCCGCCCGTCCCCCTCTGGCCTCCCTCCTCCTCCTCATCCTCCTCCTCCTCCTCCTCATCCTCTTTCCCCTGGGGGCCCAGCGCCCACAGCAGCCTGGACAGCTCCTGCCCGCCCCGCCCCACCCAGGCCGCCCGTCCCCCTCTGGCCTCCCTCCTCCTCCTCCTCCTCCTCCTCCTCCTCCTCCTCCTCCACCTCCTCCTCCTCCTCCTCCTCCTCCTCCTCCACTCCTCCTCCTCTCCTCCTCCTCCCCCCTCGCCTCCTCTTTCCCCTCTCCTCCTCTTTCCCCTCTCTCCTCTCCCTCCTCCTCCTCCTCCTCCTCCTCCTCCTCCTCCCCTCCTCTCCTCCTCCTCCTCCTCCTCCTCCTCCTCCTCCTCCTCCTCCTCCTCCTCCTCCCCTCCTCCTCCTCCTCCTCCTCCTCCTCCTCCTCCCCCTCTGGCCTACCTCCTCCACCCTCCCGCCTCCCTCCCCCGTCCTCCCCTTCTACATATGAATACTACAGTCGGGGCGTTGAGACCTAAGGAACCCTGAATAAGGAACGAAGCCTTTTTTACCTAACAGCGAAGACTGATGGGTTTCTAGTGGTGTCAAAAAGAAAGCATCTGATGACTCAGAAGGGAAGTCTGGGCGGCATCCGGACAGCGAGGGCCGGGCTCAGGGCTGGGCTCGTTTTAAGCAAACAGTCACACACTTCGTGCTCTTCGACCTCCCAGAACTCCATTCCCGGGCCACATTTTGAATGCCCGGAGCCAACTGTAGGCCACTTCGTGCTCTTCGATTTCCCAGAACTCCATTCCCGGGCCACATTTTGGATGCCCGGAGCCAACTGTAGGCCACTTCGTGCTCTTCGACTTCCCAGAACTCCACTCCCGGGCCACATTTTGGATGCTCGGAGCCAACTGTAGGCCACTTCGTGCTCTTGGACTTCCCAGAACACCATTCCTGGGCCACATTCTGGATGCCCGGAGCCAACTGTAGGTCACTTCGTGCTCTTCGACTTCCCAGAACTTCACTCCCGGGCCACATTTTGGATGCCCGGAGCCAACTGTAGGCCACTTCGTGTTCTTGGACTTCCCAGAACACCATTCCCAGGTCACATTTTGAAGGCCCGGAGCCAACTGTAAGCCACTTCGTGCTTTTCGAGTTCCCACAACGCCACTCCCGGGCCACATTCTGCATGCCCAGAGCTAACTGTGAGCCACTTCGTGCTCTTCGTATTCACAGAATTCCATCCCCGGAAAACATTTTGAATGCCCGGAGCCAACTGTAGGTCACCTCGTGTTCTTCGCGTGCAAAAGCAAAAGCAAACGCACAGTCAAGGCTGAGGCAGGCTGAGGCTGAGGCACGGACTCGCGACCAGGAGAACGAGGAGGACGAGCAAGAGAAGGAGGCAATGTTTCCGGCTATGCTTCTACACATCGCTGTTAGGTTGCTTTGCCGGGATAATTTTTTGTCATACGTTAACCTTCGGCTTCCCACCAAAAAAATCAGGAAAACATTGGGCAAGGTATGGAACAATTAAGGAGGAACACCGAGCCCCTCCCCAACGAAAAGGGTTCCTTCTTCAGCGCCCCGACTGTACTCTCCTCCATCCCCTGATGGCGTGCGGAAGATAGCGGGCACCCCTCCGCGTAATGTTTTTTTACGCAGGATTTCCCAGATTTGGTTCTTCGCTGGGTTCTTTGTCAAAATCATGCTCTCGCTGAGGCGCTGGCTTCATTTTCGGGCTTCCGCTCGTTCCGAATCGTGCTCCCGCTGCAGCGCTGGCCTCATTTCCGTGCTTCCGCTCGTTCCGAATCGTGCTCCCGCTGCAGCGTTGGCGTCATTTCCGCGCTTCCGCTCGTTCCGAATCGTGCTCCCGCTGCAGCGTTGGCGTCATTTCCCGTGCCATGCCACGGCATGCAATGCAATGCTAGGTTGCGTTCCGCTCCGCGATGCCATGCCTTCAGCTGCAGCTGTAATATCCAGTGCGTAAATGCCACGTCATGCTATGCCATGCTACGCTTTGATCTTCAACGCAATGCTATGCAATGTTATGTTCGGGGCCGCTGTGCGATGCCATGCTTTGCGTTGCAAAGCTTTGTGATGCAATTATTCACTACGCCACGCCACGCCATGCTGTGACATATACTACGCTTTGCGGTGCTCTTCTACGCCATGCCATGCCGTGCCCTACAATGCATCGCGTACCCTTTCGGGATCATTGCCCTGATCAACATCCGACTGCGCGAGTAGAAAGGGGATCTACGCCGTGGTAAGGGATGGGAGGGAGGGGTAGGATGTCAGATATGACGCGAGCACACCTAGCTTGTCCCCCCCCCTCCTCCCCATCCCCTGCCCGCTAGGCGTTCTCCTCCTTCTCCGCCTCCTCCTCCTCCTCCTCTTATGCGCATTGCGATTAGCATTGTTCGTCGTACTCGTCTTCGTTATATTTTTTCGTAGTAGTATGATTATGTTTACTCTTCTTAATACTAGTAGCATGATTATTAATAGTAGTATCCAGAATATCTTTTCAGGGAAAGTTCCTTCGTCTTCGTAAACTTACTATATTAGAATATGATTGTTCTTACTATTCTGGGTACTCTTAATACTCTGTGTATTATTGCAATGTGTTATCTTATTATTATTATTCCTCCCCCTCCTCCTCCTCCTCATCCGCCTCCTCCTGCGAGGTGTCAGTAAAGGGTGCGGCGAGAGGGGGCCCAGGAGTGGCCCGCCCCCCATCGGCGTTTTGTTTCTTTTTGCTCAAGGTGTTTTCGTATTTGATGTCTGCGATGTTTTCTTCTGATGGGTACATTTTCCATCACTTCTGCCATATGTAGGACGGGGGAGACCTCCTCCTCCTCCTCCTCCTCCTCCTCCTCCTCCCTCTCCTACCCATGGCAGTGGTGGTGGAAAATGGGCCCATCATTTTCTCAATCGAAACGTTTCCGGTCTCTCAGAAGGATGCTGACGCTGCAGCGCTGGCCCCACTCTCGGATCGGCGCCTCGCTCCCGTCGGGCACTTTTCTGGACCCGAGTCTTTCCTCCTCGTGATCGCCCCCTCATTTCCCCTCTTCCGCCTTCCCCTGGTCCTCCTACCCCCGCCCGTTCCACTCCGGTTTTCCGTTGCTGCTGGTCCTGCTCGTCTTTCTCCTCCTTCTCCTCCTCCTCCTTCGTCCTCCTCCCGTTCCTCCTGCTCATCCTTCTACTCATCCGCCACCTCGTCCTCCTCTTTCTTCCTCTCCTCGTATATAGACAACGCCCCCCGTCCGATTGCGCATAGCACGATGGGTTCGTTTGGGTAATTCCAGGTCCGCCATGACACGCGTTCGCGGATAGAGAAAATTCAACGCAATGGGTGGGAGGGGTACAAGTCCTCCTCGCCCCGTCCCCTTCCCTCCCACTTCCCCCCCCCCTCCCCCCCTCCTCCCAAGCCCCCATCCATTCAACTTCCGCCTTCCCTGGTCCTCCCCTCCCCTCCCCCCTCCTCCCCCTCTCCCCGCGCTCCCCCTTCACCTTGCCTGACCTGCAGGCGTCGCCCGCCAAAGGGGGCGACGCGCAGGGGGCCGGGCCCGGGAACCCCGCCGCCAGCCTCGGGAGTAGGGGAACAACAAGTGACAAAAACATAAAAACTCGGAGGTCCGCGCGGATTTCTCGGATCGGCGCTGGACCCCCCTCCCTGGCAAATCCGCGCGGACCTCCGAGTTTTTATTATTATGCCACTTTTTGTTCCCCTATCAGAAGGCCGCCCCACCCGTGCGCATCTCTTGCTGCGGGCGCGCCGCCAAGCCTCACCCCCTCTTTCCGGCGCGGGCGCTCGCGCGTTTGGACGCCCGAAGTGGGCACGGAAAGAATGGGCACAATGCCCAACAACAAGTGTTGCCCCAAACCAATAGCGGCCGCTGTTGGGCAGGCGGCCTCCTGTCTCGAGTGGACACAAGCCGCGGCGGCGCGGACAGCGAGCCCTGTACAAAAAATACAGCGAACTGCCGTGGGGCATCGTGCCCATTCTTTCCGTGCCCATCTCGTTCGTGCAGAGCGAGCGCGCGCCTCACGGCGGTGGGGGACCCGGCGGCTCACGCCCCACGGCCGCCGTCTCCCCAGCTTTGGAGGCCTTCTAGAGATGGGGCCCGAGGGGAAGAGGCTTAGGTCGGGCTGTCCCCCCACATGTGGTTTTCGACAATATATATATATATATATATATATTCACATATATATATATGTATACATATATATGTGTGTATATATATGTGTGTAAAGGGCCGAACAATACTCAAAAATAATCCCCATACCAGTTTTGGATTATTTCTCCTATTTCCCAACATGCTTAGTGGGGTTTTGTTTGTTCCATGCCTCGTCGCACCCGCGCTCCCTCACCTCACCTCCCTCTTCCCCTTCTCACACAGCGCAGCACAGCACAGCACAGCACAGCACAGCACTGCTCAGCAGAGCTCAGCACAGCTCAGATCAACTCAGCACAGCACAGCAGGGCATAGCAAGCGTAGCATTTCCTCGACACCATAATGGGGTGCGCACGGGGTGGTCCCTCAGCGCGGCCGCAAGAGCACGACGGTCGTCCAGGGCAAAGCAGGCGTGGCATTTTCTCGACACCATAAGGGGGTGCGCAGGGGGTGGTCCCTCAGCGCGGCCGCTGTACACGACGGTCGTCCACGGCATAGCAGCGTGGAATTTTCTCGACAGCGTAGGGGGTGCGCAGGGGGTGGTCCCTCAGCGCGGCCGCTATACACGACTGTGGCCCAGGGCATAGCAGGCGTGGCACTTTCTCGGCACCATAGGGGGGTGCGCAGGGGGTTGTCCCTCAGCGCGGCCGCAAGAGCACGACGGTCGTCCAGGGAATCGCAGGCGTGGTTTTTTTCTCGACGCCATAAGGGGGTGCGCAAAGGGGGGGGGCCCTCAGCGCGGCCGCTATGCACGACGGTCGTCCAGGGCATAGCGGGCGGGGCATTTTCTCGACACCATAAGGGGGTTCGCAGGGGGTGGTCCCTCAGCGCGGCCGCAAGAGCACGACGGTTGTTTTGGGCAGAGCAGGCGTGGCAGTTTCTCGACACCATATGGGGTGCGCAGGGGGGGTCCCTCAGCGCGGCCGCCATACACGACGGTCGTCCAGGGCAAAGCAGGCGTGGCACTTTCTCGGCACCATAGGGGGGTGCGCAGGGGGTGGTCCCTCAGCGGGGCCGCTACACACGACGGTCGTCCAGGGCATAGCAGGCGTGGCACCTTCTCGACACCATGAGGGGGTGCGCAGGGGGTGGTCCCTCACCGCGGCCGCTATGCACGACGGCCGTCCAGGGCATAGCAGGCGTGGCATTTCCTCTGCACCATAAGGGGGTGCGCAGGGGGTGGTCCCTCAGCGCGGCCGCTGTACACGACGGTCGTCCACGGCATAGCAGCGTGGCATTTTCTCGACAGCGTAGGGGGTGCGCAAGGGGGGGTCCTTCAGCGCGGCCGCTATGCACGACGGTCGTCCAGGGCATAGCAGGCGGGGCATTTTCTCGACACCATAAGGGGGTGCGCAGGGGGTGGTCCCTCACCGCGGCCGCAAGAGCACGACGGTGGCCCAGGGCATAGCAGGCGTGGCATTTTCTCGACACCATAAAGGGGGTGCGCAGGGGGTGGTCCCTCAGAGCGGCCGGACGGTTGTCCAGGGCATAGCAGGCGTGGCATTTTCTCGACACCATAGGGGGTGCGCAGGGGGTGGTCCCTCAGCGCGGCCGCTATGCACGACGGTTGTTTTGGGCAGAGCAGGCGTGGCATTTTCTCGACACCATAGGGGGTGCGCAGGGGGTGGTCCTTCACCGCGGCCGCTATGCACGACGGTCGTCCAGGGCAAAGCAGGCGTGGCACTTTCTCGACACCGTAGGGGGTGCGCAGGGGGTGGTCCCTCAGCGCGGCCGCAAGAGCACGACGGTCGTCCAGGGCATAGCAGGCGGGGCATTTTCTCGACACCATAAGGGGGTGCGCAGGGGGTGGTCCCTCAGCGCGGCCGCAAGAGCACGACGGTCGTCCAGGGCAGAGCAGGCGTGGTACTTTCTCGACAGCATGGAGGGTTCGCAGGGGGTGGTCCCCCAGCGCGGCCGCAAGAGCACGACGGTCGTCCAGGGCATAGCAGGCGTGGTACTTTCTCGACAGCAGGGGGTGGTCCCTCAGCGCGGCCGCTATCCGAAGATGTTTCGTGAGGTTCTGGTGCTCTTCCCTGACGCGTCGTCCTGGCGTCTCAACATTCTGTGTCGTCGTAGGCCGAGCTCCCAGCACAATTTGGTAACACCTCGGGGTCAGCGTGGCACGCTGGCGTGGCACGCTGTCGATGGGCGCGTTGCGCGCTGCAACACTGGGTCGCCGAGGCGGTATGGGAATGTTGTCGGCCCAGCGGGCTTGCAGAGCAGCCAGTCGGTTCGGTTGCTTGATGGCTGCCACAGCGCATCGGAGACCTCGATGCCAAATCGGGGCATCCTGGTTAGTATATCAATGGCGAGGGGGAGAGGAGGAGGAAGAGGAGGAGGAGAAGGAGGCTATGATCACTCCAGCCATAATATAAGTATGTGGGGTTCCTCGGTAGCGTAATTTTGGGGTATGTTTTATTTTTCGTCGAAAACCCCCTGTAGGGGGACAGGCCCGACTTAAGAGGAGGCCTGAGGCTCGCGCCGCATCGCCAACGCGTCGGCGATGCGTCGGCGCCAAAGGGCGTAGGGAAACTCTGGCTCAACGTCGAGCCGCTTCGGCGATGCATCGCCGACGCGGAGCGACCCTTCGACCCCACCTACTTACTCGGACCCCCTCTGGGGAGGCCTGGAGGCTCTCTCCCCCCAGCTTGTCGCCCTTGGGGGAGGGGAAGGGGGGGTGCCCTGACGCTGCTTGCCCAAGTGCAGTGTCGCCCTCCGCCCCGGCTCCCGAAGACACCTCCTGAAGGCGGGTTCACCCCGCGCGGAGCCGAGAGGAGACAACGAACCTCCCCCCTCCGCAGTTCCCCCCCCCCCCCTTTTCCCCCCTCCCTCTCCCCTCCCCCCCCACCCCCTCAAGCTTTCCCCCCGCACCCGGTCTCCTGGGAGACCACCGGAGGATCTGGGGAGACCTCCCACTGGGGGAGGCCTCTGAGCGGAGGCCTCCTCTCCACGGGAGGAGGGGAGGCCTCCGAGGAGCCTCCGAGGAGCTCTTCGGGAGGCCTCCGAGGAGGGGAGGCCCTCTGGAGGTCCTCCTGTGGAGAAGGGGCCTTCCACAGGCCTCCTCCCCAGAGGAGGCCTCTGTGATGTCTCTGGGAAACCTCTGTCACGGTAGGTTCGCGCGGCGTCGGCGCGCGCAATAGTCTTTGACACCGCATCGATCGTTCCACCTTGAACCGATCGCGGCTCCGATCGTTTCAAGGTTGAATCCCGTCGGGCCATGTGGCGTTACCGTGCCCCTCAATGCTTCCGCGTCGTTCCATCATGCGGAATTTCACGTTGAACGCCTTCGCTGGCGTCGCCGGCGCGCCATCGCCGCATGATCCGACCGGAACGCTCCTCTGGGAGCTCTCCTGGGCGGTGAGGCTGCTCACCATGCCCGCCACCTCTGAGAGGCCAGAGAGGGGAAGCCTCTGGAGGCCCTCCTGTGGAGAGGAGGCCTCCCAGAGGCCTCCTCTCCATAGGAGGAGGCCTCTGGGAGACCTCTGTTGCAGTCATCGTGCCACCATGGGGCGCGCGGCGCGCAAAATCAGGAACGAGGTAACTCTTCTGGCCACGGCGGGCTCAGGCGCCCAGGCCACTGACAGATTCCACGGCACAATATTTAAGGAGCGGCCCGAAACCCCGACTCAAGTGGCCCCTCTTTCAGCGCCTTGACTCTACAGTCGAGGTCAGTCCACAAGAAACCTTCCAAAAGAAATCCAACCCTGAGACCCCGGGACGTCCACAGATGTTTAGCGTGGGAGCGTCGCACTTCCCATCGCAAAACCATCGAACCCCGAGAAACCCAGGGCACTCTGGAGGCAAGCAGGATGTTTCCTGGCATGGGCCTCCACTGCAACGCTCCTCTGGGCGGGCTCCTGGGCAGTGAAGTCTCCTGGAGGTCCCTGGAGGTCTCTGGAGGCCTCCGAGGGACCTCTGAGAGGCCAGGGAGGGGAGGCCCTCTGGAGGCCCTCCTCTGGAGAGGAGGCCTCCCGGAGGCCCCCTCCAGACTGGCCACCGCTCGGGCGACCATTCCCCGTGCCTGCTCCGATGGCGTGCGCGCTTGTTCGGCAAGACGATCCAGGCTGCTCCTCGATGGTCCTCGCCGAGGAAAGAAACGCACACGTCCCAGCGAGGCCGCGTCTGCGAACGCTGTTCCGGGCAGTGCTCTGGGCGGACTCCTGGGCGGTGAAGCCGCTCAGCATGCCCGCCGCCTCCGCGCCCAGGGCCCGCAGGGCGGGGCGGCAGGCCGCGGCCTTCACCTCCTGAGGGGCCCAGGGGAAGGGGCATCCTCTCTCTCGGTCCTCGAGGCTCGGTCCTGGAGCCTCGAGCCTCCTCGACCCCACCCCCCCTCCTCGATACCCCCCGCCTCGATCCTCACTCCACGATCCTCCTGCTTCTCCTCGATCCTCCCTCCTCCTCCTCCTCCTCCTCCTCCTCCTCCTCCTCCTCCTTCTCCTCGATCCTCCTCCTCCTCCTCCTCCTCCTCCTCCACTCCTCTCCTCCTCTCCCTCTCCTCCTCCTCCTCCTCCTCCTCCTCCTCCTCTCCCTCCTCTCCTCCTCCTTCCTCCTCCTCCTCCTCTCCTCCTCCTCCTCCTCCTCTCTCCTCCTCCTCCTCCTCCTCCTCCTCCTCCTCCTCCTCCTCCTCCTCCTCCTCTCCTCCTCCTCCTCCTCCTCCTCCTCCTCCTCCTCCTCCTCCTCCTCCTCCTCCTCCTCCTCCTCCTCCTCCTCCTCCTCCGCCTCCTCCTCCTCCTCCTGCTTCTCGATCACCCCCTCCTTTCTCATCCCTCCCCCGCTGCTCCTCCTGACCACCTCCCCCGGAGCGGGGGGGCGGCTGGGGCGCCTGGGGCCCTCCACCTTCGCATGCCAGCCCTCCTCCTTCGCATGCCAGCGCTGCCTTCGCATGCCTCTGCTGCTCAAAGGGCCCTGGGATCCTCTTGACCACCTCCCCCAGAGCGGGGGGGCGGCTGGGGCGCCTGGGGCCCTCCTCCTTCGCATGCCAGCCCTCCTCCTTCGCATGCCAGCGCTGCCTTCGCATGCCTCTGCTGCTAAAAGGGCCCTGGGACACAGACACAGACACACACACACACACACAGACACACACACACACACACACACACATACACACACATACACACACAAACACACACACACACACTCACACACACACACACACACGCACGCCCGCACGCCCGCACGCACGCACGCACGCACGAACCACACACACACACACACACACTACACACACACACACACACACACACACACACACACACACACACCACACACACACACACACACACACAACACACACACACACACACACACACACACAACACACACACACACACACACACACACACACACACACACACACACACACACACACACACACACACACACACAACACACACGCGCGCGCGCACACACGCACACGCACGCGCACGCGCACGCGCACGCGCACGCGCACGCGCACGCGCACGCGCACACGCACACGCACACGCACACGCACACGCACACGCACACGCACGCACACACAAACAAGCAGACACAAATCCTAGGATTCCCCAGGTATTCATATGTTTCTGGGTTTTCGTATTACCCCCACCTCCCATACTTTCCCGTCTTTTACCTGGGAGGCGACGATGGATTGTGTGTGTGGGGGTGTGGGGGTGGGTGTGGGTGTGGGTGTGGGTGTGGGTGTGGGTGTGGGAATGGGTGTGGGTGTAGGTGTGGATGTAGGTGCGGATGTTGGTGTGGGTTGGGTGTGGATGTGGATGTGTGTGTGTGTGTGTGCGTGCGTGCGTCGTGTGTGTGTGTGTGTTGTCTAGTGTGTGTTGTGTGCTGTGTATTGCGTGTTGTGTTTTGTGTGGTGTGTGTGTGTGTTGTGTGTTGTGTGATGTGTGTTTGTGTTGTGTGATGTGTGTTGTGGTGTGTTGTGTGTTGTGTGCTGTGTGTGTGTTGTATGTTGTGTGTTGTGTGGTGTGTGTTGTGTGTGCTGTGGTGTGTTGTAAGTTGTGTGTTGTGTGTTGTGTTGTGTGTTGTGTGTTGTGTGTTGTGTGCTGTGTGCTGTGTGTTGTTATGCGTTGTGTGTTGTCTGTTGTGCTGTGTTGTGTTGTGCTGTGCTGTGCTGTGTTGTGTTGTGTGTGTGTCCCCTCCTGGTACCCCTAGCCGGATATGGACATGGATGCACTCGGGCTCTATAGTGGGGTGACAAACAATCCAATTCCACCGCCTGCCGAGGTCGCCGGGCGTCGGTCCTCAGGCGAGATCCCCGCCGAGCACTCAACCTGCTGACCGCGTACCTACCCGACCACCCCAACCTAACCCGAGGACCCGAGTTTCGGGCTGGAAGGGGAGGGTGCGGGCTCCACAGGTGTCTCGGTTCAGTGCTCCCCGACGCCCTCCTATCCCCCTCCTGGGCATGGAGGGCACACTGGGGCCTGCGGGCTGGGTGGTGCACCTACTGCCGATGCTCTTCCTGGCCATGCGCGGCGCGGGCGCGCGGGGAGGTCGGGCGGGGCGGGGAAGTGTTGTGGACGGCGGGTCGAAGTTCGAGGGTCGAGGATCGAAGAATCCAGGAATCCAGGATCGAAGTCCGAGGGTCGAGGATCGAGTTCGAGGATCGAAGTTCGAGGGTCGAGGGTCGAGCATCGAGGAATCCAGGAATCCAGACACGGGAGTGGCGAGCACCTGGTTCGCCGCCCTCCGGGCCCAGCGCCTCCCATAGCCCCGGCATCCTCCTCCCCCTGCGCCAAGGGGGGGGGGAGGAGGAGGGGGAGGGGGCGGAGGAGGGGGAGGAGGAGGAGGAGGAGGCGGAGGAGGAGGAGGAGGAGGAGAAGGAGGAGCGGGAGGACCAATGTAAACCGAAGAGTCATCAACGATGTTGGTATTAACCCTCCCTCCAAGCTCCCTCTTCACAGGCCCCTATCACGGTTCATTTCCATTGATGGAACTGCCTCGTTGGAAGACAACCGTTTGAAGATCTTGAAGCATGCCAAAACATTGTTCTCGGGATTTCCACGCCACGGATCGACCTGGCTGAAGCGTCCTGACGATCTGGAACCGCGCCAGAACGCAATTTTTGGGACAACACGGCGAATCAACATAATTGCTGCATCCGCGTAATCCTGAATTCTTCCAAAACACCATTTCTGGCACGTTGAGCATGGGAACCCGGGAAACCCCTGCAGATGTTTAAAACGAATGTGCTCCGCGCTAAGGCGAGAGCCACATTTTGAAAAGGAGCCGCCCTCAATCCGTGAAGCTCTTGCAAAAGTTTAAAACGAATGCGCGCGGCGCGACGGCGAAACCAACATACATAGGAGGAGGACCAGGAGGAGGACGAACAGGAGAAAGGGGGAGGAGGAGGAGAAGGAGAAGGAGGACGACGAGGAAGAGGAGGGGGAGGAGGAGAAGGAGGAGGAGGAGAAGGAGGACGACGAGGAAGAGGAGGGGGAGAAGGAGGAAGGAGGCTACGGGGGGCCTTCAACTACTGATGGCTCGGAAATCTGCGGATGTCGTCGCTGCCGTCTTCGTCGTCGTCGTCGCCGTCTGCGTCGGCGTCGGAGTCGGCGTCGGCGCCAGCTCAGGTGGGGTGATGAGATCACGTCTGAGCCACGGGGCTCGGGGGCGAGACACAGCAGAGAGTGCAGGGCCCTGCGTGCTGGAACAAGCATGGAAAGCCAGAAGCGCCTGCAAAATCCCACAGGCCTACACATCACGATAGTAAAACAAAAAAACATTGCTCTCATCACCTTCTCGTCTGACGCCAAGCGTCGATCTGGAGAGCCGTACATCCCCCCGCCGAAGTTGCATCCATCCGCTGGGCTGCCTCTCTTCCAAACGGGTGCTTGCCCCACCGTCGTCGACGTGAGTACGTGTTTACCCCGGTCGAGGTCTACGCGCCCGCTGTCGTCGCAGCGGGCTTGGCGGCTGCGCCTGCAGAGCGATGGATGCTGGCATCTTTGGGTGCCAGCGCAGATGCCACCGCCAACGGATGCACCGTGCAATCCACATGCGGCTTCATGGCCTCCGCGCATTTTCCTGTCCGAACTGGCCTGCCGTATTCGCCACGAGCTGAAAAGAAGGCTTCCCGTCCCGCCGTCACACACAGTGAGAGCAGCCACTGCACATCGGGTTTAGGCGGCAGCAGCGGCCAGCAACCCATGTTATCGATGTGCCGCCTACTGCAGAGGTAGCTGATACAACTGGTTGGCGTTTGACGGATTACTCCAAAGGGCAAATCTTGTCTGCAACCGACAAAACCTATGTCTCCCCCCCTCCTTCCCCGCCCTTGTTCACAATCCCCTGTCACTGTCCCCCTCCCCTCTCTCTCGCCCCCACCCTCCGAATCATCCCAATCCCCATTCCCTCGCATCCGCCTCTCCCCCCTGTTATCCCGCTCTGCCTCCAGCACCACATTCTCCTGCTCGCACGTGGCCTCGGAATAATGGTTCACGTCAGTCACTACTGTCCTCAAGTTGCTCAACGAGCTGCGCTCTGGAGCACCGCGTCCTCCTCCGCCCCATGCTTCCCCTCCCCCTCCCCCCGCTTCCTCCCCTCCTCATCTTCATCCGCCTCGCCCCCCCTCCCTGCTCCTTGGCCATGACCCCCAACTGTGCCCCTCCGCTGCAAGGCACCGCCCCCTCTGCTACTACACCTCATGGAAAGAGATGCTCTCCTCTACGCATCACCGTCGCCAACTCCAGCCAACCCTTCCGCACAGCCTACGGCGTGCCGGCAGCGAGCGGGCACGCTCAGACTGAGCTTTTTGGCATCAGCACCGGCAGCGCGATGGCGATGATCATCGCGCGCGAGCGGGCACGCATGGAGTGAGCTTGTGGCAGACATGCTGGTCAAGCGACGTGCGCCACGAGCGAGCTGGAACGCTCGGGGGGGAAAACAAACAAACAAACAAATCATACCGACAACGCTGGCCATGCGATGCGAAGTGCCCGCGGACAGGCAAGATTGGAGCGCGCCTTCTGGCCAGCGCTGGCAATCAGCGCTGCCGGTGCGAAACCCGTGCATCACCCTCCGACCCCACGGCTGGGGCGTCGTCGACAGCACCCGGCACCATGAGAGCCCGAGACTGCCGCGCCCAGGGCCCCCCTGCCAGTACAGACGAACAGAGAGTGAGGGAGGAAAGAAGGCGGGAAGAACTATCATTATGTAGTACCCCCACGATGCCCCAAAAAGGTCATAACATACACCAGAAGTAGTCCCCAGAGTATTGTTGCACTGTTTTTTTACTATTCTTGGGGTATTTCTTACTTTTCGTCGAAAATCCCCCTGTAGAGGGACAGGCCCGACATGAAATTAGTAGAAGAAACAAAAACGCCATAAGCACAAGCTTTTGGCGCTCCACGCCGATGTTTTGGATCTGCGCTGGACCCCCGAGGCGCCGCTGGGGAGACCCAGCGCGGCTCCGAGAGATCCGTGCGGACCGCCAAAAAGTGAATGTCTATGCTGAGCTTTCTCCTCCGAGGGAGACAGGAAAGAAAACGAGAAGCACTATGAGGGAGTCGAAACTCGAGAAGAGTGGAGAGGACAGACACGAGGAGGGCGACGCGAAGATCTGAAGCCGCCGGAGGCAGACGAAGAGAAGGAAGATGACAGCGCCGTAGGAGCTGAGGAGAATCAGGACAGAGATTCGGCACTGTCGCTTCCAGTGCAAAAGCATCGTATACAGTTCGCGACGGTGCAAACTTTCGGCTCCACGTAAGCGTGACTCTAGGCGAGAATGACCTTTGGTGCGTGGACCAGATCCAAGCGCGCAAGCGGCCGTCAACGCATCGCGCTCAGCGATCGAGGGGACCCTGACCAGCCCACACCAAAGGTCACCCCGGCGAGGGTCACGCTTGCGGGTAGTCGAAGTATCCCCTGCAACAGCGGTAAGCCTGGCCCCCCCCCAAGCCCACCCCCCATAACCTGGCCACCCCCCCGGTCAACCACCTCCAGCTAACCCTGGTTTGGGCAAGTCTTTCTTCGAGATCTAGCGCGCGCGTTCACGATGGCCAGACAGTCCTGCCGCAGCCCTGACAGGCGGCAGTGCCGCTGCCACCGCGCCAGCGCCCATGCAGCATTGGCGCAGTGCCTCGGCTCGAAGCCGCCTGGCAAGGGAGGCGACAGGAGGCCGTGATGCTGAACTGCCCCTGTCCGATCGTATGGCCCGTTTGGCCTGTCTGTACATGTACTTGCCCTGCTCCCTCCTCGTCCTGTTATTCGGCCGTTTCCTCCAACTTCTTCCTTCTCCTCCCAGTCGTCCTGGCCCTTCCGGTAGTAGCCTCATACCACTTTGATCAGATTTGCTCCCTCGTAAGTCCCGTGGGCTGGAGGGGTACAAAGGCCGGCCGAAAACCTGCGTCTGCTGCTTCAAATCCTTGCCCTGCTGCAGCACCTTTTCTTGCCACTTCTGCTGCTCTTGCTGGCCGCTCCTGCTGATTCTGCTGCTACTGCGCCTGCTGCGCCTGCACATCCTCCCTCCTGCCCCGTCCCCGCCACCCTCCTCCTTCCCGCACACACTCCATCCGTTCCCCCCTTTCTCCTCGTCCTCCTCCTCCTCCTGCTACTCCTCCTCCTCCTCCTCCTCCTCCGCCTCCTCCTCCTCCTCCTCCTCCTCCTCCTCATCATCATCATCATCATCATCATCAGTATCTCCATCATCACCATCATCATCATCATCATCATCATCATTATCATCATCATCATCATCATCATCATCATCATCATCATCATCATCATCATCATCATCATCATCAGCATCATCATCATCATCATCATCAGCATCAGCATCAGCATCAGCATCATCATCATCAGCATCAGCATCATCATCAGCAGAAGGAACAGCAGCATTATCATCATCATCACCACCACCACCATCATCATCAGAATCATCAGCATCACCACCATCATAATCATCAGCAGCAGCATATGTATCATCATCAGAAGCATCTTTGTCATCATCATCAGCATCATCAGCATCATCATCATCATCAACAGCGACATCGTCATCATCGTCACCATATGAAGCATCATCAGCAGCATCAACATCCGTATCAATCATCAACCGTCAAGCATCATCAGCATCAGCATCAGCATCAGCATCAGCATCAGCATCCTCCTCCTCATCATCATCATCAGCATCATCATCATCAGCATCAGCATCATCATCAGCAGCAGCAACAGTAGCAGTATCATCATCATCACCACCACCACCATCATCATCATCATCATCATCATCACAATCATCAGCATCACCACCATCATCATCATCAGCAGCAGCATATGTATCATCATCAGAAGCATCTTTGTCATCATCATCAGCATCATCAACATCATCATCATCATCATCATCATCATCAACAGCAACATCGTCATCGTCATCATATGCATCATCAGCAGCATCAACATCAGTATCAATCATCAATCGTCAAGCATCATCAGCATCAGTATCAGCATCAGCATCAGCATCAGCATCAGCATCAGCATCCTCCTCATGCTCCTCATCCTCCTCAGCCTCCTCATCCTCCTCCTCCTCCTCCTCCTCCTCCTCCTCATCATCATCATCATCATCATCCTCATCATCCTTTCACCCATCCCCCATCCCTCCTCCGTCCTCCCTCCTCCGTACTCCATCCTCTGTCCTCCACACCGCCCCCTCCCTCGGCTATGCGCAAAAGTGACCCTAGGGGGGCCGAATTTAAGCGCGCACGCCGCTGCTGTAGTATCGTACTCAACTATCGGAGAACACCAGCGGGCCTACACTCAAGGTCACTCAAGCGAAGGATCACTGTTACGACAGGTCGACGATCGTGGGGGAACAAGAAAGTACCGATACCGCTACTCCCCAGACCTCTCCCGGGGTGCGTTCTGACGAGAATTTCGAGGCGAGTCTTGGCCGTGATGACGAAGGCCTCCCAGGAGGGTCCCCGAGCAGCGAAAAGGAGGCAAGGGTGGCGGTGTCGGCAACTTCCCTCTGGCCTTCGCGCCAAAACGCGGGCCTCCAGGTGCCGCTCGCGAAGACTCTGGCACACCCGGAAGACTCTCGACGAGGCGCAGCTGATGAAAACCGCCCTGGGTACCCAAGAATATCGTAGAAATGCAAACAATTTCAGAAAAACGTCGGGCAGTCCAAAGATCCCACTCCTCCAACCAAGGTGAGAAAGGGACGCGGTGTCGATAGAGCTCTTCCTCTTCTGAACCTGATCGAGGCGGAGGCCCACATAAACGTTTGGCGCTCCGCGCGGATCTCTTGGGTCTGCGCTGGGCCCCTCTCCCTGGCACGCGGAGCGCGCCAGGGGCTGGTGCCAGAGGCGCCGCCAGGGGGGGGGGGGGGCCCAGCGCGGATCCGAGAAACCCACGCGGAGCGCCAACAGTTTGTGTGCATGGCAATTTTGTTCTTCTGCGATCCACCCAGGGTGATACGGGACGCGGTGTCGGTGGTGCCCCTTCCCCCTCCGAGCCTGATCGAGGCCAAGGTCCACAGCATACTATGCTGTGGACCTTGGCTGTCGGACTTAGGACGGCTATGTCCTCAGTGCCCACAGTGGAGGCCCATACTATCGAGGCCCACAGTGGACTTAGGTCGGCTATGTCCTCCTACAGGCGGATTTGGGAGGCCAAATGAAAACTCCCAAACAATGGAACTAGAATCGACGAGTTGGCCCCAGGCAATCTGTTCTGCTATCTTTGCACAGTCCTGCTGTAGGGGGACATGCCCGACTCAAGCACAGCGGACACGTCCTGCTCGGGGGCGCGCAAACATGGATTTGGGAGGCCTGGAAATGGGCACCAACACCAAGACAGAGGGCTGCCTCCACAGGGGGAAGGTGATCCTAGATTTTGGTGTTGGTGGTAATATTTCGGCCACCTTGGAAGCCAGAATATTACCACCATCACCGAGATCGGGGTCTTCTTCCCTCGGTGGAGGAACATCGCCGATCTTGGTGTTGGTGTCAACCTCTAGGCCTGCGAGGATTGGCAATCCATGGATTCGGCGCGCGGTCGCCAACTCCATGGACCGGGGGAGGTGCCCTCCCCAGAGTGCGGCCGGTGCCGCCTCGCTCGGCGGCGGCAATCCGCGACTCCCCACGGAAGCGGGACCCGTCGCCGAGCCGCGCCCCCCCTCGATCCACGCCTGGAGCAGGGACCGACCGTCCCGGCATTTTCTATGGTCCTACCACGAAATGTTCGCAGAACCCCAAAATGTTCTAAGAACAAGAGCAATGTACTTAGAACATAAGCCCGATGTGATAAAACAAGACCACATCCGCCAGAAATGTTCTAAGAACACTTCGTGGAAACCACGAAAGGTTCTTAGGACATCGTTTGGTAGGGCTATATAGGCGAACCGGGGCGCTTCGCCACTGCTTGAATGCCTGCGATCGCCCGACCTGCGCCCGTCCCCCCTTGATTTGAGGGATGAAAAAACGACCCTACCCTGGGTTACAAGTGCGCGGTCTGTAAACCTCCTGTAAAACCCCAGAAAGCCTAGAGCCGCCAGGACGCGGCACATCACGCAGGGTTTACCCTGTCAGCCCACAGGAGTTTCAGCGCACAGCGCCTCGTAAACCAGGGTAGGGGCGTTTTTTCTTCCCTTGATTGATCCATGCCTGCGATCGCCCGACATAATGCGAGACCCGGCGCGCCGCCGGCGTGCCCCCCAACCGACGCCGAGGTGCAGATCGCCGCGCCCCGCGCCACGCGCCGGGCGGCCCCCCAGGGGGCCACCGCCGCGCGCGCCGGGCGGCCGCCGCCCCCCCCCCCTGAGGGGCAACGATCGTTGTGAGGTCGGGCACGTCCCCCTATACAGGGCAGTTTTTAAGACATTAGATTTTAAAACATATAGGATTTTTAGTGTATGATTGATGTATGAATGAATTTATGCATGAACTCATTCTTGAGTTTAATACTACATCCCTGCATGTTCAATACATGATCCGCACGCGGAGCATGTATAAAAAAAACGGCACTGTAGGGGGATTTTGGAAGAGACAGGAGGAAGGCAATAACAAGGGATTCCGACATAGGCAAGAATAGTCAAGGAAGATGTCCTCCGACGATGTCTCATTATTTTGGAAGCATTCCTCCTGTAGAGGGGACATGCCCAACTTCACGATAGGGGCGAGTTGGGAGCCTCCTTTGCACGCCTGTTTTGGGACGCGCAGGTACATGTCCTCCCTGGAGGCGCGCGTCAGGCCCGAACATGTAGTGCACCCATCTTGTAGGAGATCGTTTCCCGAGCGGTGTGGCCAGAAAGCGCACGCAACGACGCATATACTATAGTATTTCTCGGTGCGTGCGTTGACGATGGGGGGGCGACGCACACATTATATTAGTATGCTGGGGTGGCGCCGATGTTTTTTCGTCGCGAAGACGAGGTTGCTAAAGTTTCGCTGAAAGCAGTGCCCAAGTCGGACGGCGGTGCGAGAAGAAGCAGACCACCCTTGTGCGGGCCAAGCAGAGTATTACAACGATGCGAAACCTCAAGGTCCGAGCCTTAACAATGAAATGTTGCCACAACGTCTGCGGCGACACCGACAGCGAGACCCATCCAAAACGAAGACGAAATGCTGCCAGTCTGTTTACCCATGCTTTCCGGACGTCCCGACCGTCCCGACCCTAGGCCTCCCCCGGACTTCTGAGAAGCTCTCTTAGCTCTGCCACAAGACGCACAACACCTCTCGGAGGGCCCGAGCGCTTCCGAGCAGCCCCGCCGCCTTCTGAGAAGGCCTTCCCCTCCTCGTTCCCCCCCGTCGCTCGCTGCCGAATTTGGCTTTCGGGTCACAGCTCGAATCTCCGGCGACCGTTCGGGAAGATCCGGGCAGCCCGGGAACGCCCGCGGCGAGGCGCGGCTGCCGGCAGGCGGCCCGAGGCCGGAGAACCGCCGAGGGCAGACGAAAGAGAATGCCCCGGAGAACCTCGCGCCTCGAGCCCGACGCTCCCCCCCACTCTCTCTCGCTCGCCGCCGAGGAGGAGCAGGAGGAGGAGGAGGAGCAGGAGGCGGAGGAGGAGGAGGAGGAGGAGGCGGAGGAGGAGCAGGAGGCGGAGGAGGAGGAGAAGGAGGAGGAGGAGGAGGCGGAGGAGGCGGACGAGGAGGAGGAGGCAGGCCTGCGCGCCCCTGCTCCGAAGCTTTCCCGCCCCCCCCCCGCTCGCCGCCGAGGCGCTTGCCCTGCGACGCTTTGCTGCAAGATGATCCAGGAGGCTCGTCGATGTCCCTCGCCGAGGGGCTCCATCCTCCTCCTCCTCCTCCTCCTCCTCCTCCTCCTCCTCCTCCTCCTCCTCCTCCTCTTCCCCCCTCCTTTTCCTCCTTTTCCTCCTCCTCCTCCTCCTCCTCCTCCGCCTCCCCTCCTCCTCCTCCTCCTCCTCCTCCTCCTCCTCCTCCTCCTCCTCCTCCTCCTCCGCCTCCTCCTAGTCGAAGGCACACGGCCGAGCGATGCCGAGGCAGAGGCTGGTGTCCGGCCTGCGCCTGCGCCGCGCAGGTGCCGCGCCGCGTGCTGCAGCAGGCGCTGCGCCCCCGCCTGCGCCTCGGGGGGCGCCGCGCCGGGAGCACGCGTGCACACTGTGTTGCTGGTGCTGGCTGCCGCCGCCGCCGCCGCCGCCGCCGCCGCCGCCGCTGCTGCTGCTGCTGCTGCTGCTGCTGTGCTGCTACTATGGCTGCTGCTGCGCTGCTGCTATAGCTGCCATGGCTGCTGCTGTTGCTGCTGCTGCTCCTGCTGCAGTTGTGCTGTTGCTGCTGCTGCTGCTGCTGCTGCTGCTCCTGCTGCTGCTGCTGCTGCTATGGCTACTGCTGTTGCTGCTGCAATGGTTGCTGCTGTTGCTGTTATGGCTGCTGCTACTATGGCTGCTGCTGCTGCTGCTGCTGCTGTTGCTGCTGCTGGTCCTAAGACGAAGCCAGGACGAGGATGAAACCGGATGAGGATAGATCGTGAAGCTCTGAAAGGGCGGCGGCTGTGGAGGATTGCTCGGGTGTTCTACGACGAAGCCAGGACTAGGATAAAGCTGGAGGAGGATACATCGAGAAGCTCTGGGATGCGGGATGTCTCGGGCGCCGCGGCCATTCCACAGCGTTCCGCAACGCTCTGGGAGTGCCCTGGAACGTTCTGGAAAGGATTCGCCCTCGTCTTAATTTGCCCCGTCCGACGTCCTCCTGCTGGCAAGGCTCGGCGCAGAGCGGGCCGCTCCGTGAAGGCCAAGGCTCGCGAGAGGAGGGCTGCACAGTTTTGTTTTCGCCGGGCTGGGACTCGATCCACGATAGGGGGGTAGAGTGACCAGGAAAGTTTTCGCCACGGGTGCTATGGCTTCGAATTTGTCTGCAGCGGACGTTCACGGTGTTGCGGGCTTCGAGCTCCTCAGACATCGTCGCCAAACTGGATGCGTCTTGAAACCTTCGGCCAACGGCCGTAGCTTGACCGCTTTGATGCTGTTTCATGATGAGCCTTGCTGGTTAGCTTCGGTGGACCCCGACTCTCAGGTAGTCGAAAAGGAATATAAGTTTTTCAGCAAGAAACATCTCTCCGCCCTCGTTCGCTTTGGCCTGCCCCGACTCCGTCTACCAGTAGGTCGGGCCCCGTTGGAGTAGCACCGAAGGTGGGAGGCTCTCGCCTTCTTGGTCCACTTCGGCATCTGGGAGGTTGAGACGTGGGTCTCGCACAAAGAGAACTGGATGGACCGAGACTTGGCCAACTTTGCTAAGTAGTTCCAGATCTAATTACCCATCATCGTGATATTGCAGAAAAATATCTGCGCTACGTCGTTTTGTGAGACAGGTATGTTGGCCTGGTCGTCAGGCATCGGCCCCACTCATGTAGTCGACGACGTGGCCGAAGAAGAAGTTGGGCCGCTCGACGACGCCTCGGCTGTAGACCCTGCAACCTCCGCGCGCCGTGCTCGCCCACCCGTGGACGGCGAAGGAGCTGTGGCGGCCTCGTGGGCGCCGCCCGTGGGCTCGGCCCCCGAAGGGCCCGTCGGGGCAGCCTGTGCTCACTTCAAGCCGTCCTTGGTGGGCGAGGCCGCCCCAGCCGCGCCGGCCGCTGCGCCGTGCCCTGCCGCCTTGGTCACGGCGGCCGCCGCTGCCTTGGCGGCCGCCTCCTTCGATTCACGGATCCTCTGGATATCCTTCTCAATCCTCTCCTGTACCTCAGCGCCGCCGTCCCTGCCGCTGGCCTCCGCCGCGGGGGGCGTTGGCTCTGCCTCCTCGGGTTTGGCCGCAGGCGCCTCCGCGTGACCGCCGCCGCCTTCGTGAGCCTCGCCGCCGCCTCCTCTGCGTTTCTTGGCCATGCGCTGGTGCACTGACGTCTGCATCTCGTCCATCTTGGTCTTCCAGGCCTGCACCTGGTCGCCGCGTTCACCGATGGCTGACTTGGCCTGGATGAGTTCCTGCTCCAGGCGCAGCAGCTCGGTCTTCTATGCGTATTCGCACTCACACTCGCCCCTGCGCAGAGCGTCGAAGAAGCTCTCGTTCCAGGCGGCGTCGAACGCATTGCCGAAGCCCGCCTTGTCGACACCGCCGAACTGCGACGGCGCAGCTACACTCTCGGCCGTGAGCCCCGCCTCGGCCGCCAGCGCCCGCACGGCGATGCGCTTGGCGATCTCCGTGTGGGCGAGCTCTCGGGCCGCTTCTTCCTCGCGTTCGAGGGCTCTGCTGAGCTGCTCGCGTGCCTTGCGCACCGCCTGCGTCTCCTGGTCGTGGCTGCGGTCCGCCTCCCGCCAGGCCAACTCGGCGCGCCGATGGGCCTCGCCTGGGGAGCTCCCCCCAGCGGCCCGCGGCCCCGCCTTCGCCTGGACCTTGCGCACCTCTGCCTGCAGCGCCGCCTTGAGGTTCGGGTCAATGGTGGCCCCCAAAGCACGCAGCAGGATGTCGGTCGGGGGGTTGGCGCCGGTGGCGCGTAGGGCTAGATTGGAGTCCTGCCCCTTGCCCTGGCCGCCGTACCCCTTCTTGGTTTTGCCTTTGTGTAGAACCAGCTGGACACCACAACGGCAATATCTATCACGCTGGACCAGCAACGAATTCCATTCACACACCCCACAAACTCCGCACTTGGTGTAGAGATCTGAGCCCTTGTCACCGCCCTTGCCCATCTTGGGTGTCGCACTACCGTGCTGGTCCTGTAGGCGAAGGACGTGCGAAACTCGGCGCAGCTCTGCAAGGGCTGTGGACCGTAGCCGCCTGGCACGCCGATGCCACGCGGGCGATCGCGATCGCGGCCGTGCGCCCGTCGCGAGGCCGCCCCAAAATGGGGTCGGGGGCTGAGGTGGGCGGGCGGCCTCCGTGAAGAAGGAAAGGGCTACCCCGCTGCTCAACCACCTTGGAGACAGGAGGGAGGGGGGGGGACAGGGGAGAGGGGGGAGGGGGGGAAAGGCAAGCTAGGTGCGCTGGCGTCATATCTGACATCGTACCCCTCCCTCCCACCCCTTACCATGGCGCAGATCTCTACTCGCACAGTCGGATGTCGAGCAGGGCAATGATCCCGAAAGGGTACGGCGCGATGCATTGTAGAGCACGGCATGGCATGGCGTAGAAGAGCGCCGCAAAGCGTAATATCAACCTGGCATTGCACTGCATGCTGTGGCATGGCACGGGAAATGACGCCAGCGCTGTAGCGGGAGCACGAGTCGAAACGAGCGGAAGCGCGGAAATGAGGCCAGCGCTGCAGCGGGAGCACGATTCGGAACGAGCGGAAGCACGGAAATGAGGCCAGCGCTGCAGCGGGAGCACGATTCGGAACGAGCGGGGCCCGACAATGAGGCCGGCGCCTCACCGAGAGCAGCATTTTGGAAACAAATGCAGGCGAAAACCCAACTCCGGGGAAACCTGTGTGTAAAAAAACAATACGCGGGGGGGTCGGACACTCTCAAACCGTCATCAGGGGAAGAGGGAGAATAATATTCATATTGAGCAATTGTAGACAGGGGAAGGGGGGGGACAGGAGAGAGGGGGAAGGAGGGGGAAAGGAGAAGAGGGGGGGGGGCAGGAGAGAGGGGGGGGGACAACAGAGAGGGGGGGAAGTGGGGGGGCAGGCGAGAGGGGGGGAGAGGGGGGGAGGGGCAAGCTAGGTGCGCTCGCGTCATATCTGACATCCTACCCCTCCCTCCCATCCCTTACCATGGCGTAGATCCCCTCTCTACTCGCACAGTCGGATGTCGAGCAGGGCAATGATCCCGAAAGGGTACGACGCGATGCATTGTAGAGCACGGCATGGCATGGCGTAGAAGAGCACCACAAAGCGTAGTATCAACCGAGCATTGCATTGCATGCCGTGGAATGGCACGGGAAATGACGCCAGCGCTGTAGCGGGAGCACGAGTCGAAACGAGCGGAAGCGCGGAAATGAGGCCAGCGCTGCAGCGGGAGCACGATTCGGAACGAGCGGAAGCACCGAAATGAGGCCAGCGCTGCAGCGGGAGCACGATTCGGAACGAGCGGGGCCCGACAATGAGGCCGGCGCCTCAGCGAGAGCAGCATTTTGGAAACAAATGCAAGCGAAAACCCAACTCCGGGGAAACCTGTGTAAAAAAACAGTACGCGGGGGGGGGCTCATATTTTCAAACCGTCATCAGGGGAAGATGGAAAGTTGTATTCATATTGAGTAACTGTACAGGAACAAGGGGGGGGGGAACAGGAGAGAGAGGGGGGGGGAGGGAAAGGAGAGAGGGGGACGGGGGGGGACAGAGAGAGAGGGGAGAGGAGAGAGGGGAGGGGGGCAGGAGAGAGGGGAGCAGGAGAGAGAGGGGGGGGAGGGAAAGGAGAGGGGGGGAGGGGGGGGACAGGAGAGAGGGGGAGGGGGACAGGAGAGAGGAGGGGAGGTGGGGAGGGGGGGCCAGGATCATCACCATCTCCATCACCATCACCATCACCATCGTCACATCACCATCATCATCATCATCATCATCATCATCAGCATCATCATCACTAGCATCATCAAGATCATCATCATCATCATCATCATCATCACCATCATCAGTAGCATCATCATCATCATCATCATCATCATCATCATCATCATCATCATCATCATCATCTTCATCATCATCATAATCATCATCATAATAATCATCATCATCATCATCGTCATCATCATCATCATCATCATCATCATCATCATCATCAACATCATCATCATCCGGAGCGTCCCGGATCGGCGGCACTGGCCGGAGACCACTACAATATCCCAGACTACGCCTGCCCTGCACTGCGCAGGGTTTGGGTACGTCCCCAGGGTAAATCCCATCCTTCTCCGCCTGCCCCTCGTGTGACGACGATGGCAGCGAACAGGTCGAGGGAGGAGGAAGAGGAGGAGGAGGAGGAGGAGGAGGAGGAGGAGGAGGAGGAGGACATAAGGAGAAGAGAAGGCGAGGAAGACATGGGATGAAGAGGAGGAAAAAAAACCTCCCCATCACCCGTGTGATATGGCGGAGTGCGGTCTGCGCCCGCGCCGACTACGGGGAGCCCCCAAAACACGGACACGAAGGCGGCCCCCCACTCCGAGAGACCAGCCGCGTGATAGAGAAAGTCGCGCAGCGCGTGCTCTTGAAACAACAGTGGATCAATGTACAGTCATCGGCCTGACCTAAGGAACGATAAATAAGGAACGAAGCCCCTTTTTTTAATCCCAAGGAATAACGCATAAGGAACGATAAATAACAAATAACGCATGAGGAACTGTAAATAACGCATGCAAGCCTAAGGAACGACCGAGCCCCTTTTGAAAGGTAAGTGTTCCTTACTCAAGCCGCTCACTATACGTTTACGTCCTCCCTTCCCTCCCGAGAGCATGCGCAGGACGGCGGAGGAAGTGAGGAGAGGGGCGCGAGCACAACGATGGACGGGGGGCGGCGAGGGAGGCGGAGAAGGGTGGACGGCGAGGGGCTGTAGAGAAGGAGAGATTGAGAGAGCAGGGAAACCTGCGAGGCGCGGCACACACTCACTACAGTCAACCCGTACAATAAGGACGCACGATTCGGATGCAAGGGCCTTGGAAGACCACTTCGAAGCTTTTCGAGCGGGGCGCGGCCCGCGAAGGTGGCCAAGGATGGGTTGAAGGGGCAAGGATGCAAGGGTACCCTTGTGAAGGATGCCCGTCCTTATTATGCGCGTTGACTGCAAGACTGGCGGCGTTCACGCCGCTGGCGGCGCGCAGAGGGGGGCAGGGGGAGAAGGGGCAAGGCTTTTAAGAAGCAGGGCACTTCTAAGCAGCCTTCCCCCCTCCCCCTGCCCCCCGCTGCGCGTGGCCGAATCTGCGCAGGATGGCAGACGACGGAGGAGAGGGGGCGCGGGAAAACACGCTGGCAGAGGCATGGGAGCGCAGCGCATCGGGAGCAAGAAGAAGCGGCTGGCACCGGACGGCGCCGGTCAGCGATTCCAAGTGTCATCGCTGCCCTCGGCTGCCGATGTGTTTGACCACTGCATGCTACTCGTCGACACGGCGTTCCCTCTGCCGTCGCCCCAAACAGCATACCAATTGCACAAGATGCGTTTGTATGCGCCACTCGCCTCGTATACTATCATCCAACCCGCACTAACCTTCTTTGGCGGCGAGCGTAGGGGGGAAGTGAGAAGTCCTCCAGCCTTCTGAGAGGTTCCCAGAGCCTTCCCCGAACACGCAGAAAACTTCTCAGAAGGCCGGAAGGCAAGGGCTTCTGGGAAGACTGGCTGCCTTCTGAGAGGGCCTCCTCCTTCTCACTCCACCCCTTCGCTCGCCGCCGACCCCTGTCCGCTGCCACAGCTCTCCAGCCTCATCCCCACGCGCACGCCCCAGGACTTGCCGCCGCTCGGACCTCCACTTCCCGTGCATTTGTCCGTTTCGTGCGCGCTTTTTTGTTTTTGCTCGATGGTCCAGGGTGGTCCCCGATGTCTCACGCCGAGAAAAAATGCACACGTCCGAGCGATGCCAAGAGGAGCCGTGCTCGACCCGCGCACGGCAGGCCCCCGTGCCAAGCGGCTCGCCTCGTTGCCATGACTGGGGGTCTGGCACCTCTGCCCTCCGCAGCCCACCCCCCTGCCCGCACCCCTCCCCGAGCCCCCCCCACTTGGACCCCTCCGAAGGAGACGAAGCCAGGACGAGGACAACATCGGGTGAAGACGAGACGAGATTCTCTGAGATCCGGCGGCTCCAGAGGATGTCTCGGGCGCCGCGGCCTTCTCAGAGCGCTCCGGAGGGCTCTGAGAGCGCCGTGGAACGCGATGGAACGGACATATAATCGTCCCAGCCCCGACAGACCCAACACTCCCATCCATCTACCCGCATGCCCCCCCCCCCCGCCCGCCACATGCAGATCGACAGCTCCTGCGGCCGGAAGGCGTCCCACCCCAGGTCCAGGGCGCGGGACACGGCCGTCCCGATGGGCGGTGCGGCGGCGCACCTGCAGGGGAAGTTAAACCAACGAGATACCATGCCGCTGGCTTCGGGTGCGTTCTGATCCGGATGTCGCGGCGAATCCAGCCGTGGTGCCGAGGGAGGGGCAGCGGATCGCCATGTCTTTCCTCCTCCTCCCCCTCCTCCTCCTCCCCCTCCTCCTCCTCCTCCTCCTCCTCCTCCTGCTCCTCGTCCTTCTCCTCCTTCCCTCCTCTGAACCTGATGGAGGCGAAGGCCCACAGCATGTTCGACACGTCCTGCGAGACCCAGCGCGCCATGGCCGCGCCCCTCGCCGCCTCCGACAGAGCACCAAAGTACTCCTCGTGCCGCACGCGGGCCGTCGCCAGCGCCCACGCAACGCCCACGGCGTGACGGGGCTCGTAGCGTTCCACCTCGCGGGAGGCCCTGGCAGCGAGCCTCTCCAGGATGTCCACGGAGCCAGGGGCGGTGAGGTGCGCGAAGGCCCACGCGGCGTTGCTGACGTCCTGCGCCTCGAACTGCTCCACGGAGGCGGCCACGGCAGCCGCAATGGCCTGCACGGGCTCCTTGCCGCTCGCCCAGAAGATGGGGAGACGAGAGGGAGCGAGGGGTGGAAGAGGACCCAAACAGAGCCCCATGCTTGCGCACAGATGTCTTCAAAAGGCTCCCAGAAGCCCAGGAGCTGGCAATTGGGGAAGGATGATTGGGCTGAAACTTTCGGGTGGTACTCCCCTTGGTTTGGCTGTTGCCCCACTGTGTGTATGAATGCTGCCTCACTTGCCGGCGCACGATAATTTGCCGAGGAAGCGGTTCTGCATGGTCTGGGGTAGATGCACGAAACGTCACGAGTTTGGCTCAATCGCGTCTTTCACAGGACGATGGGAGAGAGATACACGCCTAGGCATCCAAGACACCGCCAAGATGCGCCCGATAAGTACCCCAGGGCCCCCGCCAAAAGCCTTCGAGAGGCCCATGACACCTTTCAGGCAGGCAGAACCATCGCAAAACCTTACGTGTTCCGTTGGTGTGCCTTCTCACATTTCCAGTCTCCAACCCTTCAAGCCCTGAGGTGGCCACAATATCCTCAAAGGGCTCAAGAAAGCTCCAAGAGTCCACACCCGGGCCAAGCGAGGACTCTACGATCTAAGTCCCCACGATCCCTCCTGAGTTCCCGAGGGAGCTCCAAGATGGTCCCCAGGTAGCCTAAAGACACAAAAAGGTGGCCCCACGATGATCCAATACAGCCTCTTGAGGGGACTTACTAAGCACAAAGGGGAGCCCGAGAACATCCAACATGGCAACCAGAGCCCCAGAAGAGCCCCAAGAGCCCACAATGAAACCCAGGAATGCTCTAAAAGGGCTCCAGAAGGCTCCGCGAAGCCCCACGAGACCTCAAGATGGCACCCGCAATGCCCCAAGTAGGCCCCGTGCGGGCCCGAATTCCTTACGAGGTGGCCCCAGGGGAGCCCAAGGAGTTTCCCGAGATGGCCTCAGGAAGGTCCCCAGACCTCCCAGGAGCAGGGGGAGGTAGAGACAAAAGGAGCGAATCAACCAACCTGTCGTGTTTGCTCTCCGTGGGCTGTGCCCGACATCGGGGAACGCACTGCCACAACAGCGTTCGCCGCTCTGCGCCCTACCGGCAGGTCTGTAGTCACGCTCTCCCCCGACCAGCTAGGTGCGACAGCGGGAAAAGAAGCCGCCTGCCGCTCGCAAAGGAAAGCCACGATCATCGCGCCGTCAGTCTATCCAGCGAGTGAGCACTCCAACGCGAGACTCGCAAAACAGGGGCAGCAAGTTGCCCCCCCCCCGGCAGCTCCCCATTCCTCACGAGCAATCCAGCCAAATGGCAACGATAGCACGATGTGCGCCCGCGGAATGCACGAAGCGTGCAGGAAGACCTGCAGGAGGAAAGGGAGCACGACCGACGGGGAGGGGGGAGAAGGGAGAGCTGCGGGAGCAGGGGAACGTCAGGAGGACGAGGCGCGGGCGGCAGAACGCCATGGACCAACGCGACGGATGAAAGGATGGGGGATCCTTCGTCATCGGAGAGGAAACCACGAGGCTGGGAACAACGAGACCGGCGGGGAACAAAAAGACAGCGCGACGGATGGGAAGCTCCTCGTCAGCGGTCCGAAGCCGCGCCAGGGACCAGGACGCGACCGCCACGTCGCGGGCCTCTGCGTGCGTCGGGGAGAGACGTGTGTCCCGCCCTCCCGCTGCGCCTCCGCCCTCTGGCCTGCCGCAGATGGCCCTCTCCTCCTCCTCCTCCTCCTCCTCCTCCTCCTCCTCCTCCTCCTCCTCCTCCTCTCCCCTCCTCCCTCCTCCTCCTCCTCCTCCTCCTCCTCCTCCTCCTCCTCCTCCTCCTTCTCTTCCTCTCCCCTCCTCCTCCTCTCCCCTCTCTCCTCTCCTCCTCCTCCTCCTCCCTCCTCCTCCTCCTCCTCCTCCCTCCTCCTCCTCCTCCTCCTCCTCCTCCTCCTCCTCCTCCTCTCCTCCTCCTCCTCCTCCTCGCCTCCTCCTCCTCTTGCTCCTCCTCCTCTCCTCCTCCAACCCTCCTCCTCCCCTCCTCCTCCTCCTCCTCCTCCTCCTCCTCCTCTGCCCTCCCTCCTCCTCCCTCTCTCCTCCTCCTCCTCCTCCCCTCCTCCTCCTCCTCCTCCCTCCTCCTCCTCCACCTCCTCCTCCTCCGCCTCCTCCTCCTCCTCCTCCTCCTCCTCCTCCTCCTCCTCCTCCTCCTCCTCTTGCCCTCTCCTCCTCCTCTCCTCCTCCTTCCCCTCCTCCTCCTCCTCCTCCTCCTCCTCCTCCTCTTGCTCCTCCTCC